CGGGTCTTCGGCGAAACGAGCGAACGCTTTAACCACTAGGCTACCCACCGGCCTTGTGACAAAGAATCCATAAAAGTAAATTCATTTGCAATCTCCAGATGTATCGCTGGTATCTGCGAAGAGGTTATAAATGTGCCCAAGCTTCGACCCGGTTCCCTACTTGTAGAATGCACAAAGAGACCACAATCCGTCAATCTACTCAAACTGAAAGAGTCTGTCAATATCAAGGCTGCTGTCTCTGAGCTCAAGACACTGAACTCATGCAAGGGAATCGTCCGCTCCAGTGCACGCTGTCTGTCTGACATGGGGGCGGTCGGGTAGCCTAGTGGTTAAGCGTTCGCTCGTCACGTCACGCCGAAGACCCGGTTTCGATTCCCGACATGGGTACAATGTGTGAAGCCCATTTCTGGTGTCCCCCGCCGTGATATTGCTGTAATATTGCTAAAAGAGGCGTTAAACCATACTCACTCACTCACTCACTCACTGTCTGACGTGACCGAGGATGAAATCGTCAAAGAACTTGCCCAAACAGTCTGTCAACGATTTACTGTCAAAAAGGATGGTGTGATTGAATAGACCAATTCCTGTCTCTTCACTTTCGCCCGTTCGAAGATTCCACAATCGATTAAAGCTGTTTGTTGCAGCACTGGAGTGGAGGTGTATATCCCCAATCCACTTCGGCGCTACACCTGCCAAGCGTTTGGACATGGATCCAAGTCCTGCCATGCCTCTGCTGTTTGTTGCCGCTGCGGTGACATCTAGATATATAGTGTTTACATTATGTTCACTTTATTTTCCAGGGGTGGTCGGGTAGCCTAGTGGTTAAAGTGTTCCCTCATCACACCGAAGACCCGGGTTCGAATCCCGACATGGATGCAATTTGTGAAGCCCATTTCTGGTGTCCCCCGCCGTGATATTGCTTGAATATTGCTAAAAGCGGCGTAAAACCAAAACTCACTCACTCACTGTATCTTCCACCTTCCTCAACTTTCCGCCAATCAGAGACCTTCAGACTTTGTATGATCAGCTCCCGAAGCCCTGTAAAACCATGGGCGATTTAAACGGTCATAATCCCCTATGGGGGAGTACTAATACAAATACTAAGGGAAAAGTCCTTAATCTCAAACATCGATTTATGCATCTTCAATGATGGATCTAACACATATCTGCACCCTGCCACTGGCACATACTCTGCCTTTGATCTTTCACTGACCGATTCAAATATTTTACACGAATTTGGTCCATGATGGCGTCTGTGGAAGTGACCATTTTTCAATAATACATACAACTATCAATTCCTCTGAAGAACCACCTTCAACAAGGTGGAACCTTACAAAGGCCAGTTGGTATTTATTCCCAACATTATGTACAGAAAAACCAACACCTGACAATTTCAGGAACGTTCCTGATACTATACATCTAAGTTCAGATCAATCAAATTCTACTGAAAACGAAAACATTCTTTAAGTCCCCTGGAAACCCTCATATACGTAGACCATGGTTTGATAATGCTTGTAAACAAGCTAAGAAGAATGTGAAGAAACCTTAGAAATATTGGTGTGAAACATGGTGTTTTAAATATTTGCATGAATTTGGATTGAGGGGCAGATTACCTCAGTTCATAACTCAATTTTTAAACAACAGACAATTTCAAGTACGAGTGGGCTCTACCCTGTCTGATCATTTTGACCAAGTTCAGGAAGTCCCTCAAGGCAGCATCCTATCTGTCACACTGTTTAGCATAAAAATAAATAGTCTCACAGATGGTTCACTTTTTGTGGATGATTTCAACACTTCCTGGCGTGGTAAGAATATGCATACAATAAAAAGACAGCTACAGCTCTGTCTTAACAAATAAAAAGAAATGGGCCAACGAACATGTCTTCAACTTTTCTAAATCCAAAACAAACTGCATTCATGTTTGTGGTAAACACCCACCGCATAAGGATCCAGATTTATTTTTAGATGGTTCTCCTGTCAGGTAGTAGAGGAGCCAAATTCCTGGGCCTCATATTTGACCATCATCTCACATTCTTACCACACATCAAATATCTAAAGGCAAAGTACCTGAAGGCTCTCGACTTGTTAAAAGCCGTTTCAAATTCCGATTGGGAAGGGGATCAGACAACCCTCCTTCACTTGTACAGATCGTAAATACGCTCCAAACTGGACTATGGTTCCATTGTCTATGGTGGAGCCTGCAAAAGCAATTTAGAAAAGAATAGACACAACACACAACCAAGGCCTAAGTCTCTGTCTTGGAGCTTTTAGGACCTCTCCTGTGGACAGGTTGTATGTGGAGGCCGATGAACCTTCCCCCCAACAGCGCCGCATTAAACTATCACTGCAATACGTCAATAAATTGCATTCAAATAAATCAAACCCAGCATTCAGTTGTGTTTTTAACCCTCAATATGAAAACTTGTTTAGAAATTTGTCAAACCCGGTTCCACCACTTGGAATCAGAAGTCAACCACACATAACTGCAGCTAAAATAATATAAATATCGTACCGTACCGACTTCTGTCTTCTCCTCCCTGGCAGATGGTGAAGCCAGCGGTAGACCTCTCACTTTAACACAGCTAAAAATGTCTGAAACAAATCCTTTGGTTTATCAACGAGCATATAACCAATTACGAACAAAATACAATTCTCACAGATCCATTTTTACAGACCCGTCCAAGGATTGTGGCAAAGTTGCAAGTGCCACCATTAATGGAACCAGAACTGTCCCCTCAAGAAACCCAGATACTACTGTTCAATCTTCACTGCTGAGGCCAAAGCTATCGTAACAGCTTTGACCTATATTAAACAACAAAACCAAACCAAAGATTTCATCATCTTCTCAGATTCATCGTCTTGCCTTGTCTCCTCAAATCATCCCATAATCCTTGACATTTTAGAACTTTTCAATGATCTTTCTACTGGTCAATGTGACTTCGTCTTTTGCTGGTTACCAAGTCATGTAGGCATAACAGGTAACCCCAAAGCCGATGCTGCTGCTGAAGCAGCTCTTGACAAACCGTTATCTTCACCCCTGATCCGTACTGTATAACCTGGAGTTGTGCTCAAGGTTTTAAATATATAAAATAAGATCATTTAAAAGTGATTTATTGTCCATGAATAATCTGTGTGTATGGAAAGTGTTAAATTGAATATAATATGAATGTATGTAAATGTATTGATGTGTACAACCATTAAATGTACCCAAAGTATATCATACGGGAGCGCAGGTGGCGACCAATTATATACACATGCACAAAAGTTTAGCGCCACCCACCATATTTGCGAGCTGTTACTTTTGGCACTTAATGATGACTATTATAACGAGATGTACGATTGTTATAAGCCGTATATGTAAACCTCATGTGATGCAAAAGTTGTCCCAAAGCAAGTTTATCTTGTGTTCCAAAAGAATATGAGCAGAAAGGAATTTTACCGAAGACCAGAAATTGAAGGATTAGAAAACATTGAAAAACTTTTTTTTGTCATGTAACTGTCATGATATCAGCAGACCATATCAGGTGTCACATAGACACCCTAGGGAGTGCAGAGTCTATTGCAAGACAGAAACGTCAGTAACGTGTGTTAATCCATGGACATTGACCACAGCTTCAACCCTACGCCTCTTATTTATTACAAGTCGTTGAATGCTTCTTTGAGGCAAACGGATCCATTCTTCATGAAGTGCGGCTTCAAGTTGAAGTGGCAAATGGATTTCGTCTGACTATCCTGAAAAGACGTCTATCCTCTCTGTTAGAGGTCTTTCTTGGCTACCAGACATATGCCTGTCATTGACATCATTGGTTTGACCATGTTTGACAATCAAACGAGTGATAACACTGTGATGACGACCCATTTGTCTTGCAATGGCCCTGCATGACATGCCAGCATTTTTCATGCCTGTCACTTGCCATCTTTCAGCGTTCGTTAACTTTCTACTCACCATGGCTGATTTTCAACCTCTATTGGAAGGGGAATCTCACACAGGAGCAAAATGCAACCACGTGTCTGAAACTTGAATTTCACTATTTATAGGGTGAAAATAGTGAAAATATCAACTTGGTCTCGTAGCTGTATGGCTGAAATGGTGCCGATGCGATTTTAACTCACTCACTTATTGCGGATGCCTGCATGGTCACTTTATATTTGAGACCGCCTCCGTGGCCTAGTGGTAGAACGTCCGCCCGGATAGCGGAAGCTCGGGGGTTCGATCCCCGGCCGCGTAATACCAAAGAGGTAAAAGATGTTTCTCACTGTGACCCTGCTTAAGGGGCTAAAACAAGGACTGGTCGGCTCGGAGTCAGTATACTGTGTCTTAGTGAGGTATTCATGTTAAACTGCGGCATGGTATCTCGTTGGGCTAGCACTATGAAATCGGCATTAGTCCGGACTAGTAAAGGCAGCCACACACACATGGATGCACGTCGCTTTATAGGCAGATATATGATACACTGCATAATACAGAGAATGGCTAGCTGCAGCATATGAGGTACAATTAAAGTCAAAAACTATATAAAATATCTTACAGATAACTTACATAATCTGCATTCACATATCCGGCAGTCCGTTACACGTGTCAACAATATGACGTCTGTGCTACGCCAATAATGGTCTTTGAGTTACGTCACCATGAATTGTGTGAATGTGGGTTTATATTAACTCGCTTAATTCTAGCCATATAGACAATAGGGAATGTAAATGTATTCGAACTAGTTGGACACTTTTTGCCATTCGATCTTTCGCACCTTGCTTTGTTCCTTATCTGTTCGGAGCCGTTTCGGCACAGCTCCGCTTTGATTCCCTAAATATGCTAGACTGGTTTAGTTGTGATTGTAGGATATTGCAGGGGAATCTCTGGGTCATGTAATAATCGTTCTTGGTTTGCCCATGTGTTGTCGCATTACTCTGGTAAAATTGCGGGTACAAATCTGTATGCAGGTGTCGTTTCTGTTCAAGTTGAGTCGAAATGTTACTCGTTTCTGCGAGCCTGTTATTTTTGACCGGAAGTTTTGAGTCGTAAGGTGTCTAATCACACCGGGAAAACTCACTCTCTAACTGGTTACATGTGCATGTTTAGGGTATCGCAGAGAAAAATCTAGAAAAGATATGCGGAGTAGCTGTGATTCGCTCGAAGCCTGATGTCCCTGGTCAGTAACTGTGTATAACAGCTTCCATGCTTAACGCAGAAGCGGGAACATCTTGCTCTGTGACTGATTCAACATATGTCGTATGGGACTCTAGGTCGGCTTGGCATTGTAAATAGAAATAGAACGTTACTTTGGCAATATTTCAGCAACACAACAGTGTAGTTTACCGGGCGTACCGGATAGTTTACAATTCTAACCCCCTTTCCGATCAAACACCATTCCCTAGGGACCGGTTCAAAAGTTCGATTTAGGATAGAATTCAAGTTTAGGGGTGGGGATGTTAATGGCCCTGCACCTTTCTATCCGACAAAATCAACTTTCCTGATTTGTTTTAAATAGTTCCTATTAGTAACTAAACTAAACTGATCCTATTTTCATGCTGTTAGGTGTTGTCATTAAATATATCCAGTCCTTTCGCAAGGTAGGGTTTTGTCAATGCCCGCACTAGTCCTTCTAGTTCTAGTGCAGTGTGTAATTTGGAAAGACAGATTTTTGTCTATAAAAATCCTGCAAATAATTTTCAAAGCCAAGCAAATAAACTTCTGTCGTTAAACATTCTGAAAAAGGCATCCCACATCAACCTTTTGGTCTGGTCTCTTAGGGTTGGGTACGTACTACTTAACCAATCAATCATCAATTTGTCATCCTTCAGGTTAGGCATACCTTTTCGATCCTTTGAGTTAGTTGTTAGTTTGGGTGTGGGTTTGCTATGTCTTTTGACAAATAATCCGCATCCAATGTAATTTTAGGAAAATCTAAATTTTGTCATGTGTCAAGGAGAAAAATGTCTACTGCATAAGTGCATGTTGGTAAACACTTCGGTGCGGATTGCTTGGTAAACAAGCACTAATAATTTAGGATAGTTCCCGTCGTCCTGTGGTAAAATGTTGGCTAATTAGATTAACTCATCAGCCTAGCTTAGCTTCACAAGCTTGCAATGTGAGTTTGATCTTTCACTCAGCGGTAATTGAAGTCAGAAAAAGTGCATTACTCCCATGTGGTCTTCAACTAGGTTTCATTAGATTATAGACAGGATCTGGCAACCCACAACACAAAGTATTGTTCATTTGGTGGTGATAAATTATATTAGATACTATCCCTCTTATTTGACCAGGATGCAACCTGGTTTTGTCTGGTGCAACTTGGCTTTTATGTCAACATGCACTTGGTGCAGGTTTAATCAACTTCCTTAAATCCAGCCCTGAGTTTATGTTAATCACTCTTTCAGACTGGGGTCTTTTCCGGAGGAACTATTGACATATGATATTTTGATGTTTTGAAGCAAATATATAAGACATGTTTGGAGACCAGTCTAGATGATATTACAATTTTGTCCAGATGATAGGTCTGTGTGTACTGCAATGGAATGCAAGTATCTTCTTTGCGATACGTATTGCAGTATTTTTTTTAGCTGAAGTGTTTGACAGTGAGTGACACTGATTGTACATGTAGATCCTAATTTCTTGTATACCAAAGTAAATATTACTAGCAATTTCATAAATAAACACTGGAACACGATTTTCCCCCGTCTTGTTTGCGACGATGTCAAAATTAGCTAGGTCAGTTGTCATTGTGTTGTCATGGATACAGGGGAGATAACAACCTGAGGGAAAAATCACATCAATGTTTTCTCTGTTTTGTCAATCAATTTTGAAGGGAAACATCATTTATGAATAAATTTCAGAGTAGATTTTAGATTAAACGATAGAAATAACGAAATTTGTGAAAAATAAATGTCATATACTGGAACACAGTAAAAATATTGAAATACGTACTGTTTTAAAAATGTACTGCTGTATACCATTATAGTGGTAATACCGTGCAGTCCTATAAGCATGACTAGATGATATTTAATGTAACAATGAATGTTCATGTGAATGCTATGATTTACAACGGTGAATAAATCTGTGTTTGCAGAGGAAGTGCTTGTAAGTCAAGACCATTCCAAGATGAGTGGATTTGGCCAATCTGGTTCTGGCTTTGGTCAGACAAATCCTTTTGGACAGATGAAGCAGACAGGCTTTGGCCAGACACAGTCCTCCATGTTTGAACAGACTCAGGCATCCAACTCCACCCAATCATCCGTTTTCGGACAAAGCTCATCGACAGGCTTTGGTCAAAATCCAGCACCCACACAAACAACATCTATGTTTGGACAGAGCTTATCAACAGGCTTTGGTCAAAATCCTGCACCTACACAAACGACAGCCGTGTTCGGACAGAGAGCATCGACAGGTTTTGGCCAAAATCCAGCACCCACACAAACAACATCTGTGTTTGGACAGAGCTTATCAACAGGCTTTGGTCAAAATTCAGCACCTACACAAACGACAGCCGTGTTCGGACAAAGTGCATCGACAGGTTTTGGTCAAAATCCAGGACTTACTCAGACATCTGTTTTTGGACAAAGCTCCTCTTCAGGTTTTGGTCAGACTCCGGGTCAAACACAGACGCCATCAGTTTTTGGACAACCACCAACTTCTAGTTTTGGTCAGAGCCAATCAAGTGGTTTTGGCCAAACTCAGTCAAATGTTTTTGGTCAAAGCCAACCAACTGGCTTTGGGCAGACCTCAGCAAGCACCACAGCTCAGTCAAATATTTTCATGGCCACTTCAGGAGCTGCATCTGCCGCATCCCAGTCCAACCCGTTTGCAACATCGTCAGTCTTTGGACAAAGTGGGAATCAGGGGGCATCTCAAACCACATCAGGTGGATTTTCTTCACAGCATGCTCAAGGGGCGGTGGCTGGGTCAGGGTTTGGGAGCAGCGGGGGCATGTTTGGTGCCAAGGACTCGAAGGTGACAGGAGCCTCAACCTTCCAGACATCAGCATTTGGAACATCGACAACCCCTACGTCATCTGCCTTTGGTGGAAAGAGTTCTGTATTTGGTGGAAGTTCTTCAAAAGCAGTATTTGGTGCAACCACTAATGCATCAGACAGATCAGGTTTTGGTGTTACCACGACAACTGGTAAATCTCTTTCGCCTGTGTTTGGAGGACCGCCTGTCACCTCTTCCATCTTCTCAGCAGCCACCCAGTCTTCTGTCTTTGGTGCCAAGAAAGAGTCAACTCCAGTCTTTGGCCATTCTGATTCAGGAAGTGTATTCGGAGGTGCGAAGAAAGATTCTTCCTCAGTATTCAGAGCCCCAAGCACCACCAGGGCATCCCCAACATTTGGTGGTGTCGGGAAAGGGAGTAGCACTTTATTTGGAGCCAAAACAAGTGCTAAAGCGACCTCTGAGAATCTGTTCAAATCTGCAGGATCAAGCAGCAGTGGTCGACATTTTGGGAAGAAATCGGACCTTCCTTCCACTGACCTCGTAACGGAGCAAGCTCCTCTGTCGCACACCTCGAGTGCAAGTCAGGCTACTTCAAGCAAGCCGATCTCAAGCGTGTTTGGCAGCAGTAAGGTGTTCATGGGTGGGGCAGGAAGCACAGGGGGGTTTCCTGTCACGGGGGGAAGGTCCGGGGGTCAGTCCGGTCCAGATGATGAGACAGGGGAAACAAAGCCTGGAGCCAAGACCTTGTTTGGAAAGACGACGTTCAAGTCCACAGCATCAGTGTTCCGTGAATCCGAGAAACCGAGATCAGAAGCAGGACTGTTTGGTGCTCCGATGAAGAAGGAATCAGGTAGGGTTGTCATTGATTGGAAATTTTAGCATCACTTTATTTCTTGCTGAACAAAAGAATCTAGGGATCATGAATATTTTGCTTTTTATAAAATTATGTGCTCAGTCTTGAAGTCTTCACAACAAAGAAGTATCCCCCCCAAATATTCTTGATCCATCACATATTATACATGTAATATATTATATTAACATAATTTTGTTTTTATCTGACTGTCATGGTTATGAGTTGGTAGGTAAATTGGACACAATTGAGAAAACTTTAAGTTGATACAGAATATCTTACATCATGTAGATAGATGTGAATGGTTGCTTTAAGTAATTGATAATGATGATGAATGTGTGAATTTTAGAGAATCAGTATGTGTTTCTCTTCTGTCTCTTCATCAGCCTGATTAATTTTGTTTTCTTGTGCTGTGTTGGAACTAGTAAACCTAGCCATCACTGGGAAGCTGCAACAATGTCTGACAAACAGACGTACCGTATTTGTTCAGCTTCTCCCTGTGGGTGCGGGCGGTCGGGTAGCCTACTGGTTAAAGCGTTCTCTCGTCACGCTGAAGACCCGGGTTTGATTCCCGACATGGGTACAATGTGTGAAGCCCATTTCTGGTGTCCCCCACCGTGATATTGCTGGAATATTGCTAAAAGCGGCGTAAATCCATACTCACTCACTCGCTCTGTGGGTGCTGTGAGCATGGCCAGTGACAATCTGTCATCTTTCCGAGGCAAGGGGGAGTAAACTGACTGTAAGAGTCCAGGTGCCGCCATTGCCGAACTAGGCTGAAATTTCTGGGCTCGATCGTCATGATCATAGCGCCACTGGTGGCTATTACAAGTTATTTCCCTTCTATGTCCTTCCTATTGACCAATCAGATTCCACCTCTCATATCACTTGCATTTGCTTCCAATGCTGTCGCCCAGTCAAGACGATCTAATCGATAATTAAGATCTATATTGTAACAAAACGGGTCTTACTTCACGTAGTACATGAAAAATCACGTGAGCACCTTGATCAAAAACATGAAAAGATTTGGAAAATATCTGTCAACCCTCAGTTGGCAATTTACGAACCAGATGTCGATTTTGATTGGACTATGCATAGACTTATTAGACTCGTTAGTCCAGCCAAACTATATAACTTCATTATTCAAGCCCAGTTCAGCAAATGTGGAAAATGGACTTACATAGTCAGTTAACTCCCTTGCCTCGAGAAGATGCAGTCTGTGGATTTAGCCACTAGTCCGAAGACCGAGTCTAGTAAGATGTATTTTGGCCTGGTTCAAGTTGTTTATAACAGTCCACACAATAACACCAAGATCTGCCTGGTCTAGTACAAATCATGTCAAGTGACAATCCCAGACTTGTAGACTCCAGTCTAGTCTGCAGTAACCATGGTAACAGGGACTTGTTTACAGGCAGCGGTCGTCTGTTTGGAGGGGAGGAACGAGAGACTGTGATGGAGGAAGATAGGAACAGGAAGAGGAGCATCCGAAGAGATGACGAGAGTAAGTACATGTGTACTTGGTACAACAAGGAGCGATTCTCACATCTGTGACATAGTTTCTGTCTGGGGCAGAGATTATTATGTCATGAAAATGAAAGTAGTACAATGTGTCTAATTTAATGAATATACAGCCACGGTGGCCTAGTTGTCAAACATGCCATTTGCTGTTCAGAGTTGGAGTTGTGTCCCTTTTCTGTTTTTAGACATTTTGAAAGGGAAGGTTTGGCTGTCCTCGAATCTAAATGGCTGGGGGAAGCAGGGGTGTAATAACTTTCATCATGTTCCCTCTGAGGCACTGTGACGAGGGGGGGGGCTGGGGGGGGGGTGGCCTAGCAGGGTTAGAAACTAACAGTTTTTGTCCACTAGCCCTTATAATGATAACATATAGCAAAACCTTTAAAATGGGCCAATTTCTACTAGTCCTTAGGATACCTTTACTATTGGGCAGTTTGGTAAGGACTATAGGACTAGTGCCAATTTCTAACGCTGCCTAGTGGTTTAAGCGTTCGCTTGTCATGCCGATGACCAGGGTTTGATTCCCCACATGGGTACAATGTGTAAATGAATACACAATGCCATTTAGAAAGTGGTCAAATGTGACAATTGTTATTTTGGGACTCAACCCCCAAAAAGTAAGAGAATCTGTACTTTACTAAGAAAGTGTTATACCAAATGTAACATTTGTTAAAATGTGTAAAGCCCATTTCTGGTGTCCCCTGCCGTGATATTGCTGGAATATTGCTAAAAGCGGCGTAAAACAATACTCACTCGACGTGACGGAGCGAAGGCCAGTGCCAAGTCAACCAAGACTTCAGGTTGAACATTATGAAGGCTTGGATCATAACTACTGTAAATTGTAAAATTAATGCATCTCCAAAAGAAAGCGACCGCTGGCCCCTAGCCAAAAATGCGACTCAATATGAATGTGACACCCCCCTCCTCTCAAGCACCAGTGGATTTATATATAAATAAATGTCCTCTGTCAGGTTTACAGGAGAATCCTCACCTTAATCCAAAATTACATTAATCCAATCACACACCAAATAGAACTGCTTATTAGCGCTGAGTAGTGTACATCTGCTAAAACAATACATGCATGTTGGCTCGTGTCGGCCTTCGACACAGTCGTAAAGAACAAAGACACTGTGTTGCGTGGGTGGTGTCTGTCTGGACTCACAGGTGTGATCAGTGGTGACTAAGTGTGTAGAACTCTTGTCTTGATCCCAGCAGTGACAATTCACAGGATGTAATTAGCGTTTGAATGACATTATTTATATACTTGTTACAAGCGCTGCTCAATAAACAGTGATGTGGAATACATAGTTGTTTGTTTTCAGCGTATGTCTAAGTTGGTATTTCTGCTATCCAAAATGTCTTATTGTTGATATGAATGTTATGTTTAATAATCCGAGCAAAGACCCCTCGCATTTTCCGCATTTAATTCACACTCGCATTAATATCAAGATTTACATTATATACCAGTGACCACTGGATATCAGTAAGCATGGTAAATTCAAAGCAGTACATAAGTAGGATTTCGTAGCTTAAGATACAGGGAGTAGGAATTGTGTTCCCAAGGCACCTCATTCTTGATGTTGTTTTCCTGTCAGCATGGTTAGGAGCAAACGCAATTATAAAATGAAGCAACCAATTTAAAGATGAATCGTCACTTTTAGTAATAAGAATGCTCCAGTAAAGTATGTTTATTCCTAAGTGAAGACCTCCTGTGGGGATTCTGGGTCAGATTTGGTCCCCAAATGGATCAGGTAGTCAGACTCCGTGACTTGATTGTCTTGATAATATGTAGGCGTGGATCGATGCTCACAACATCAATCACTTGATTGTCTGGTCAAGAGGATTATTTACCGGCTGTTGTCATATCATGCATATAGCTTGAATATTGGTGATTTAGGCGTTAAACAACAAACAAACGAACCTAGTGAAGACATTGAAGCATGTTATGTTGTGTTTTGTTGACCCAAATCCAAAAAGGTAGCAAATTTGGATTGGTATTAAAAAACTTAAATTGTTGCCATCACAAAACTTAGCCATAAGCAGGGTCAGTAATATCAATGACGCAAATTGTAAAACTTGGACAAGAATCATCAATTAGAGGGATTGTGATTCCAGAACACCTGATCGTACCTGTATGTACCTGTATGTACTGGAATGTACTGGAATATACCAGAAAATAATATCAGCTGGTCCCAGCTTGAATGATGTGTCAGATTTATGGTCATGTTTCAAGGCTGCAGTCTGATTTGGATACAGATCTGTGCTTTTGATTGCCAATATTGCATCCTTGATAAGAAACAACACTTGATTTTTTGTTCAGGTACCTCAAAGAGAGGCCGGAGCCTGTTTTCCAGTGCTTTGGGTGGTTTAGGTGGGCGGGGCATGAGGAGTGACAGGACAGAGACCCGCCCCTCTGTGAGTGACAGGACAGAGCCCCGCCCCTCTGTGAGTGACAGGAGAGAGCCCCATCCATCCACGTCCAGGTCGAGGGGCCAGGACATGGAGCCAGGACAGGGTATGTGAATCAATCGCTGACAGTCCACACTGATAAGATAAGAGATATTCCAGTTCTTTTCAAGGTTAATTTGGCAACTAATTCCGTGCAATTTCATTGGCTGTCCAAGCAATTTATTTTCGTCTGTTTCTACGAACAAAATAAAATTAGGTGTTGCCCACTATCGGACTGGGGGGCATGGGTAGCCCAGTCGTCTAAGGTACTGCGATTTGCTGTGCAGAGTTGCGTCCCCTGGGCACGCCAGAAACCTATGATTGTGGGTTCGAATCCCGGTTTGCCCCATTAAAGTTTCTAGGTTTGTCCGCACCATACCCGTGCTTGTGGGTTTCACCGAAGTGGTAAACATCTGAGACCTGCATCACTTCGGGCTGACATCAAGCTGACACGCCGTGATATAACTGGGCGGGGGATAATAATTAAGGGAATACTAAGTTGCAAAAGGCACATCTACACCATATGGTGATTGTGTGTACCAAGTTTTGTAAAGTTATTTCTTATGGTTTCTAAGTTCTGAAGGTTAATCACCATATGGTGATTGTGTGTACCAAGTTTTGTAAAGTTATTTCTTATGGTTTCTAAGTTCTGATCTGGAAACAAAACATGATGGATGATGAACGGAGCCCGTTTCAGTTCTGTATCACCTGCCAACTTTGTTGGAGCGGTATAATACTTGAACTGTGATGTAGTTGACTACGTGTTTGTATCACTTGCGTTTGCTTCACACAAAATGGTGGCGCCCGGTCAGTTAGATCTGATCGACAATCAGCATCTATATTCTGATAAAACGGGTCTTATATCGCGAAATGCATTAAATCACGTGAGCACCTTGATTAGAAACATGAAAACATTTGGAAATATCTGCTGACGAGTTGGCGGTGAACATGCTTTGCAAATCCTGCAATCGACCGAAATCTGTACGACAGTGTACGATTTTGGTGCACGATTTTGATTGAACTATGCATAGACTCGTTAGTCCAGCCAAAATGTAACTCCATAATGCTAGCCTAGTTCGGCAAGGGTGGAAACTGGACTTTTATAGTCATTTAACTCCCTTGCCTCGGGAAGATGTCTGCCACAAGCAGGTGGACAAACTGAGAATTTGTCACATTTGATTGCATATATCATTGTCTTTAAGATTGGACAATGGGCGGGGGATATAGATGACTTTGTCTTCTTGTTATGATTGTAAATAAATACTCACTCACTCATTCCACCGCTATATAGCACTGATTTTTATGTTGACTTAATAAAACTGGAAAAGAACTGTTTGTTTGGCATGTTTGGTATTGATCTAATTTTCTTACAACATCAATGGATGAATATTGTATCACTGAATGCCACTGGCATGAAACTCGCTCCCTGCTCACTCTTGAATAAGCAAATAATTGCCATGTTCATGTAGTGCATATATTTACTGGAAGTCCTTGCTGTAGAAGGAAGTCGTGAGTCAAGATCCAGCACCACAATGAGGCTGCGTAGACTGCCATCAGTAGCGGAGGACGTGACTTCAAAGATTGCCATCATCTGTAAGAGCATCCCCACCAAGTTCAACAAGGGCTCCATTCTGCGTAAACATTTCTCCAAGTACGGCTCCGTGTCCAAGGTGTTCCCAAATGTCAACAAGAAATCTGCAACCATTCACTTCCATGACCATGTAAGTTCAGAGTCTGTCATTGCCTTTCAGAATTCGGGGGCATGGGTGGCCCAGTCGTCTAAGGTGCCGCGATTCGCTGTGCAGAGTTGCGTCCCTTGGGCATGCCAGAAACCTATGATTGTGGGTTCGAATCCCGGGTCGCCCCGATTATGTTTCTAGGTTTGTCAGCACCATACCCGTGCTCGTGGGTTTCACCGAAGTGGTAAACGTCTGAGACCTGCATCACTTCGGGCTTTCCTCCCACATTAGCCTGACACACCGCGATGTAACTGGAATACTGTTAAAAGCGGCGTTAAACCCAACTCACTCACTCACTCACTCACTTTCAGAATTCTGTTTTGAAGTTTCACAGACGTTCCCCGCTTGAGATTTCTGACATATGAGTGTCAACGGCAAGGTTAAAATCATAATAACACAGTCAAATTATGTTCACACAGAAATCAGTTTTCTATTTCAACAAAAGTAAAACCTCTCCATATAGAAACTGAACGAAGCACATGAGCACACAAAATGCGAACCATATCAGTGTTAGAAATTGGCACCAGTCCTGTAGTCCTTGCCAAACAGCCCAATAGTTAAGGTATTATGAGGACTTGTAGAAATTTGCAGGGTTTTTGGATTGTTTGCTTGTTGTCCATAAGTGGATATCAACCTCAGTAGTTTGGATTATTTGTTGTCTAATACAGTAAACTATGGTTATAACAAACTCAAAGGGACCCCTAATGTTACAGTGATCCCTCGCTACAACACTACCTTCGGGGTCCAAATAATTGATGAGGGTTATAGATGATCAGCGGTTTAACGAAGGTCGAGTCGTAGGTGGTAGATGACCAACAAAACAGTATACATGCTCTGCCTACCTAAACGATCTACGTTGCACGTTTCAGAGTTTCAAAAAAGATTAGAATAGAAGTTATTTATGATTCATAGTGTGAAAAAAGATTTATCGAGTATTTATATGCGCTTTAGAAAAACCCAGGTGAATAAACAGGTATAACAAACTTGGTCAATAAAAGTATGAAATTTGATATAAAGCATCACTAAACATGATGATTTTACCATTAAAGATGTATTTCCTGCTCTCAAAGTCATTGTTTTATATGCAGAGATTAGAATAACCTTGTGTATTTTCTCGTAACTAAGCCGAAAAAATAGCAATCAGCTGTGCACGTGTTTCCTCCCAATCTACGGTTGATTCAGTTAAAACGTGCCCTGTGATACCACTTTAAAGACATTTGATGCAATGGTCGGAAGAAATTGTATCTGAAATTATTATTTTATCAGGAATAATATATTCCAATATGATGTTATTTTAGTTTCAGCTTCCACCATATATACTTAAATTTATAAGAACCATAAGCGTAGCAGTTTGGTACAAATTGTATGCAGGATATTTTTTGACATATGGAATGATTTTGACCAGTCACCGTAGGGACTTCCCACACTTCATGTATTTTGATTGCGAAAACGTTATGTTGACATTTAATTGTCAAACTGCCTCAAATATAACTTTTAGCGAGTCATGGTACGGCATTTATGATATGTGTATCCATTCTCTTGCAACTAAAGTTCGTTTCAAGGCGTCAATAGCGGTAATCTGACTGTGGTTGCTGTTAATTACAACGGTGAGTTAGTTGGAAAACTTGAGTTTATTGAAAATGTTTGTAAATTTTGGGAGCCATGCTTTACAGCGCGCTATAACCAAGTTAGCGCTATATTGAAGGGCGCAATAATGAGGGAACACAGTAGTTTGTTATAAGCGACAGTGCTGCGTATGTACAACATATATACAGCAAATGGCCGGAACAAAACAATAAGACCGCCAGTTCGTTATAAGTGTGTTAGTTATAAACATAGTTGACTGTATTACTGTGCTGACTAGGGAAACACTGTACTGTTAGACAGCTCCGTGTAAAACACACATCAGCGATGAAATTCAAGCAAAACCTTAAAGCATCCCCATTTACGTGAAGATTTGGGGTAGAATAGGTCTTCAGCAACCAATGCTTGCCGTAAAAGGTGACTATGCTTGTTGTAAGAGGCGACTAACGGGATCGGGTGGTCAGGCTCACTGACTTGGTTGATGCATGTCATCTCATCCCAATTGCGTGGATCGATGCTCATGTTCATTAAGTTCTGGGACCTAGATTGGTTGGTTGGTTTGTTGTTTAATGCCACACTCAGCAATATTCCAGCTATATGACGGCTGTCTGTAAATGATCGAGTCTGGACCAGACAATCCAGTGATTAATATCATGAGCATCGATCCACGCAATTGGGATCGATGACATGCATCGACCAAGTCAGCGAGCCTGACCACCCGATCCTGTTAGCCACCTTTTACGACAAGCATAGTCGCCTTTTACGACAAGCATGGGTTGCTGAAGACCTATTCTACCCTGGAATCTTCACGGGACCTAGAAGTGTGTGGTGGTATGGAATAAGTTATGGGACCTAAAAGTGTGTGGTGGTATGGAATAAGTTCTGGAACCTAGAAGTGTGTGGTGGTATGTAATAAGTTCTGGGACCTAGAAGTGTGTGGTGGTATGGAATAAGTTATGTGACCTAGAAGTGTGTGGTGGTCTGGAATAAGTTCTGGAACCTAGTAGTGTGTGGTGGTATGGAATAAGTTCTGGAACCTAGAAGTGTGTGGTGGTATGGAATAAGTTCTGGAACCTAGAAGTGTTTAGTGGTATGGAATAAGTTATGTGACCTAGAAGTGTGTGGTGGTATGTAATAAGTTCTGGAACCTAGAAGTGTGTTGTGGTATGTAATAAGTTCTGGAACCTAGAAGTGTGTGGTGGTATGGAATAAGTTCTGGGACCTAGAAGTGTGTGGAGGTATGTAATAAGTTCTGGAACCTAGAAGTGTGTGGTGGTATGGAATAAGTTCTGGGACCTAGAAGTGTTTGGTGGTATGGAATAGGCTCTGGGACCTAGAAGTGTTTAGTGGTATGGTGTTGCTGGTGTCTCATGCCCCGATCTATTTGGAATAATGCTAGAAGTGACGTAACACCTTTCTCAGTCACCTTGAAATATACACTGAAGTTACTCTTTAATTTCAGAAAACTGCTGCCGAGGCCAAGTCCCGTGGAAGAGTTCTGGCAAAGGGCATCCCACCGATGCAGATCTTCTGGAGTTCCCACTCCCCCGGTGTCGCGAGGTCAACATCAGTCACATCTGCAGCTTCACCAGAGGGGTCTGAGACATCACCTATTATGAACAGCGACACTGGTGAGGATTTCAGTAAATTTTCAGTTTCGATCAGCAACACAAGTGAGGGTTTCACTATTATGATCAGCGGTATCACAGGTGAGGGTTTTACTATTACGAACAGAGACAACACAGATGAGGGTTTCACTATTACGATCAGAGACAACACAGGTGAGGGTTTCACTATTACGATCAGAGACAACACAGGTGAGGGTTTCACTATTACGATCAGAGAAAACACAGGTGAGGGTTTCACTATTACGATCAGAGAAAACACAGGTGAGGGTTTCACTATTACGATCAGAGACAACACAGGTGAGGGTTTCACTATTACGATCAGAGACAACACAGGTGAGGGTTTCACTATTACGATCAGAGACAACACAGGTGAGGGTTTCACTATTACGATCAGAGAAAACACAGGTGAGGGTTTCACTATTACGATCAGAGACAACACAGGTGAGGGTTTCACTATTACGATCAGAGACAACACAGGTGGGGGTGTCACTTTATTTTCACTGTGTTGATGGCTCCATGGCTGTGTGTCAATCTGTTGAAAAATCTTCATCGTGTGATTGACATCCACAATTCAGGAATTTGGCAATGATGTAATAGAGGTAGTATTCCTTGAATTATTAACAATGATAACTATTGTTTGTTGTTAGAGACTGATGTGATACAGCTGGACAAACGCTGATTGATGCACAAACTCACTGACTCACATTTGTCGTAAGAGGTGAACAGTATCGGTGGTCAGGCTCACTGACTTGGTTGATGCATGTCATCATATCCCTATTGCCATGATTGATGCTCATGATGTCAATCACTGGATTGTCTGGTCCAGACTTGGATATTTACAGTCTGCCATCATTGAGCTGGAATATTGCTGAGTGCGGCGTTAACCAACAACCAAACCAACAGAACATGAATGTTGCTCTAGCCTTGTGTGACACTATGTGTGTGGTGTTAGTATTAAGTATGGCACTGACATCTGTGCTCTCTCTGCAGTTGAAGGTAAGAGTGTCAAGAAGTCCAAGTGGGATGAGGATGAGGTGGATGATGAACTGAGCAGTATGGCCGGGACTAGGGACATACAGAGAGCTGTCAGCAAGAAGGTCGCCCTCCCACGAGACCCGTCACCAGCAAGCTATGAGAGACATGGAGCCATGTCAAGCCACAGCCCAGGTCGGACCTCCCCCAAACCCAGCCCCACCAAGACCACTTCCGACACAGGTGATTGTAGCTTGACGTCTCAACCAAAGTCTCACACACAAAGGAAATTATGGCAACCCATTAAAAGCCAAAAATAGTATGAAAATAGTTGACATATATTTTGATTGCAATTGTGCTGTCTCTGATGGGTTAGAAGGTGGCAAACGATTGGATGTGGTTCACACTATCAATCCCTGTAGTTGCCCAGTTGATTATCTATGTAGACAGAGACACAGACAGAGACACAGACAGAGACACAGACAGACAGACAGAGACACAGACAGACAAACACCCCAAAACAACAGAAACACAACAGCAAAAACAACAACAACACACACACACACACATACATATTGGAGAAAACACGCTTTTTCCCGACCCCCAGGGCATGCTGTCTACCAAAACCGAGGGAAAGTGTTTTTCCATACTTGTAAACTGAAAAAAAGAAACTTAAAACAACATTTATCAACATTTTTATGTTTCGAACATACTTTCCATGAACCTTACGAAATGCGGGTAAAATATCTAAAAACCAGTGAGGCTTATCAACACCTCTGTAGCCTCGTGGTACACTCACTGGGCTATAGATATGAAGGTTGCGAGTTCGATCCTCGGGAATATAAAGAAAACATTTGTCATTTGATTTTACATTTCATTACATGTTACAATCTGAACGGAAGTTATATTAATAAAATACCCAGGACATTGTATAAAATCCCTGGGATATTATAGCAAATATGACTTGAATATCCTATAAAATCCCTGGGACATTACAACTTTCCTGTTTATGAGATTTAACCCGACTGGAAAGTATAACCTCACAATAGGTTTTAATGCCTATAGAAAGAAGTCTCTTACTTAATAGCGATCCCAATGAATAGGTTTATAAAATGGACTTATTCCTTGGGACCTGGGGAATTCTTTTGTCTAATACTATGAGAAGGTCAGTAGTCAAGTCAGCGAGATAGCACCCATGAAGAGCTGAAGAGTCACTCTCTCTCTGTGTGTCCGCAGTGTCGCTGAGCAGCCTCCGCACCGCTGTGGCCAAGAATGTCCATGACATGATCAAGATTCTGGACCAGCGGGACAAGTTCATCCGGGAAGGTGGGTCGCCATGCTGAGAGTGAGTGAGTGAGTGAGTGAGTTGGGTTTAAAGCCGCTTTTAACAGTATTCCAGTTATATCGCGGCATGTCAGCTTAATGTGGGAGGAAAGCCCGAAGTGATGCAGACGTTTACCACTTCGGTGAAACCCACGAGCACGGGTATGGTGCTGACAAACCTAGAAACATAATCGGGGCGAACCAGGATTCAAACCCACAATCATAGGTTTCTGGCGTGCCCAAGGGATGCAACTCTGCACAGCGAATCGCGGCGCCTTAGACGACTGGGCCACCCGTGCCCCCCCCATACTGAGAGGAACTGTGATGGAATAGTTGGAAAACAGAATATTATGAGTAGTTAATAGCTCTGGTCCGACCTGCATGGAACTTCATAGTTACCAACTGTCTTCCATTTTACTGTTTTTGTGTGTTGACTGTCGTCACACTGAAGGTACTTGTCTGTAGGTACTTGGGGACCATCAACTGATGAGGTGGGGTGTTTGGTAGTGAGGTGGGATGTTTGGTAGTGAGGTTGTGTGTTTGGTGGTGAGGTGGGATGTTTGGTAGTGAGGTGGGTGGTTGAGAGTGAGGTGGAGAGTTTGGTAGTGAGGTGGGATGTTTGGTAGTGAGGTGGGATGTTTGGTAGTGAGGTGGGATGTTTGGTAGTGAGGTGGGATGTTTGGTACTGAGGTGGGTGGTTGAGAGTGAGGTGGGGTGTTTGGTAGTGAGATGGGTGGTTGAGAGTGAGGTGGGATGTTTGGTAGTGAGGTGGGGTGTTTGTAAGTGAGATGGGGTGTTTGTTAGTGAGGTGGGATGTTTGGTAGTGAGGTGGGATGTTTGGTAGTGAGGTGGGGTGTTTGGAAGTGAGGTGGGATGTTTGGTAGGGAGGTGGGGTGTTTGGTACTGAGTAGGGATGTTTGGTACTGAGGTGGGATGTTTGGTAGTGAGGTGGGGTGTTTGGTAGTGAGGTGGGATGTTTGGTAGTGAGGTGGGGTGTTTGGTAGTGAGGTGGGATGTTTGGTAGGGAGGTGGGGTGTTTGGTATTGAGGTGTGTGGTTGGGAGTGAGGTGGGGTGTTTGGTACTGAGGTGGGATGTTTGGTAGTGAGGTGGGGTGTTTGGTATTGAGGTGTGTCGTTTGGAGTGAGGTGGGGTGTTTGGTAGTGAGATGGGATGTTTGGTAGTGAGGTGGGATGTTTGGTAGTGAGGTGGGGTGTTTGTAAGTGAGGTGGGGTGTTTGTTAGTGAGGTGGGATGTTTGGTAGTGAGGTGGGATGTTTGGTAGGGAGGTGGGGTGTTTGGTACTGAGGTGGGATGTTTGGTAGTGAGGTGGGATGTTTGGTAGTGAGGTGGGATGTTTGGTAGGGAGGTGGGGTGTTTGGTATTGAGGTGTGTGGTTGGGAGTGAGGTGGGGTGTTTGGTACTGAGGTGGGATGTTTGGTAGTGAGGTGGGGTGTTTGGTATTGAGGTGTGTGGTTGGGAGTGAGGTGGGGTGTTTGGTAGTGAGGTGGAATGTTTGGTAGTGAGGTGGGGTGTTTGGTAGTGAGGTGGGGTGTTTGGTAGTGAGGTGGGGTGTTTAGTAGTGATGTGGGGTGTTTGGTAGTGAGGTGGGGTGTTTGGCAGTGAGGTGGGGTGTTTTGAAAATCCAATAAACGCTGGCTGAAAGCATGAATGGGCCTCAAAAATACTGGGAATTCTTTGGGAAGAAATTAAGCTGTGACATTTAAAAGCCCTAATAGTGATAATCAAGATAAAGGCAACCTATTAATAGCCTGAAATAGTGCGTGCCATCAGGGTACCTTGAACATTAGACAAACCGACTCAGGCTTGCAAACTTTCTATCCCTGGTACGTACAATGTGTGTGTTGATCCATCACTCCAGGACGCACCAAGCAGTCCAACCTGGCCACAGCGCGGGCGTTCGTGGGGACGTGTATGGACATGTGCCCGGAGAAGGAGAGGTATGACAGGGAGGAGAAGCGCCGACTCGGCATGTTTGAGTATGTTCCTGGATCGGAGAACATCGTGAGTGTTTAGATTTTCATTATCTTTTCAAATCACATGTTTAATCAACATTGGGGCAATATGTTGCAAAACATGATTTTTTTTATGAAATAAAAGTCTATGTTTTGTTATAATAGAATGTTGATTTAGGGTTGATCTTTCACTTGTGAATACAGCTGTGTTTTTGGGCTATTTCCCGACAGCCCGGTCAGAATCCCCGCGCAGATCACTCCCGTGTTGTGAAAGAGTATAGCAGATCGTCGGCAGATCAGGTAGGGAACTCTACTCATTTACAGGGCGTTGGGGTAGCCTAGTGGTTGAAGTGTTCATTCATCAGCCCTAACACCCTGGTTCGAAGCCAATTTCTGGTGTCCCACGCCTTGATATTGCTGGAATATTGCTAAAACCGGCTTAAAACCGCACTCACTCGCAACATATCTACAGCCCTGTGGTTAGCGACCCATGCTTGTAAAGAGGTGATTAAGGGGTGGGGTGGTCAGGCTCACTGACTTGGCTGATGCATTTCATCATATCCCAAGGGCACTTAATTTGTAATCCTGGATAAATCGCTGTGACAGACCTTGGTCATTGTTGGTGTTTCTGCAAATGACAATGCAGGGTTTTACCTTGACTTACATTATTGGGGGTCCAGGTGACCCCTAATAAATAACTTTAAGAGTCCCTAGTAGGCAATGTGAGGGTCCAGTAAAGTAGTGGAATGGTACATTTTGATAAGACCCGTGAAGATTCCGGGGTAGAATAGGTCTTCAGCAACCCATACTTGCCGTAAAAGGCGACTATGCTTGTCGTAAAAGGCGACTAATGGGATCGGGTGGTCAGGCTCACTGACTTGGTTGATACATGCCATCGATCCCAATTGCGTGGATCGATGCTCATGCTGTCAATCACTGGATTGTCTGGTCCAGACTCGATTATTTACAGACCGCCGTCATATAGCTGGAATATTGCTGAGTGCGGCGTTAAACAACAAATCAACCAAAACCAAAACATTTTGATAAATACTTTAGCCTGGAATGAATCAATGATAATGTGGACAGTGGTCATGATTGATGGATGAAATGACAGACACCCATAACTGCTCTTTATACCCTGTAGGTGCATTCTGAATATTATTGTGCGTCCATCAGGATGCTGTATATTATTTTTCAGCTCCTATTTTCTACATTTGTGCTAACTGCATGCACATTTGTGTGCCACGTAAGACCGTGATAATGTCCTGTAAAATAGCATTATGGGTAAGGGAGGATGAGCCTGTGTTGACTGTGTGTGTTTCAGGACGAGCCCCTGCCCCACGAGCTGCGCCCGATCCCCGTGTTGGTGCGCACCATGGACTACCTGCTGACGGAGATCGCGGACAAGGGCACGGACGGACGCTGGATGGACTGGTATGGCTTCCTGTGGGACAGAACACGAGGAATCAGGAAGGTTTGTGTCGGAGGTTACCAGTCACTGAAAGTCATTTGTTCTTCAGACAAACGGTTGTGTGGCGATTGCTTGTTTCTTTGTAATCATGGTTAATGCATTTGTTAACTGTAACAACATACATGATCTTCATTCTTGGCTTTGTCATCTTCAGTGTCTTTTGTAATTGTTCCTTGCCTTGCCTGTGTTTCTTCCAGTATGTGAACACAATGATATCCGTAGTTAATGTACAACTAAAGGCTGCGACCTCCCCTCACGTCACTAGTTCATCTGCCAAGGGTGGCTTCCTGCCACTCCTCTTTTCTCCTCTCCCACTTCCCTTTTTCACCTCCCTCCTTTCTGTTCCCCCATCCCAATCTTCCTTTGCCTTACCCCTCCCTCCACTCCCTGCCTTTTCCCCTCCTCCCCTTTCCCCTTCCTCTTCTCGTCTCTTCCCCTTTCCTCTTCTCCCCCTTTCTCTTCTCCCCCTAATTTAGAAAACCCTCACTTCTCCCTCCTTTCCCCTTCCTCTTCCCCCTCCCTCTTCTCCCCCTAATTTAATAACCCTTCCTCCTCCCTTTACCCTTCTTCTCCCCCTTCCTCTTCCCCCCCTAACCTCCATTTCCCTCCTTCTTTCCCCTTCCTCTTCTCCCCTTTTCCCCTAACTTCCATGACCTTCAATCCTACCCCAAACTAAACTTCAGACTCCATGACGTGTGTCAACGTACTGATACCTTGGATCATTGCTCCTAATGCCATTAATTGCCCCAGACGCCATTATTTACTGGCTGCTGGCTAGAGCTGGCACTCAGCTGAGAGCGTCGTTGGACCCCGAACCCAAACATCCCCTGCTTCTGTTCCAGGACATCACCCAGCAGCAGCTCATCAACCGGGAGGCGGTGGAGCTGCTGGAGAAATGTGCCCGGTTCCACATCTTCTGCTCCGAGCGCCTGTGTGAGGAGGACATGCACGTGTTCGACGAGAAGATCAACAACGAGAACCTGACCAAGTGTCTGCAGACTCTGAAGGAGATGTACCATGACCTGGATGTCAAGCATCAAGTCTTCTGTCCCAATGAGGCAGAGTTCCGCGCTTTCATTGTCCTCATGAATCTCAATGAGGGGGACACACTCAGGTAGGGCTCTGTTGGAACTGTGGTGGTGTTAGGAGTTCAGGAGCTGTAGGGATCATCATGGTCATGTGACAAAAACAGAATGGCAGCCGTTGAAGTCTGAATGAAGACTTAATCTGAATAGTTTCAACAAAGTAGGAATAAGAATGGATGCTGTTTTGATTGTTTTGTTTGTTTGTTTTTGATGGCATTCATGGCCATTGACACACATTACAATGAAATTTAGATAATGACAAAAAGGTAAGAATATTTTGAGAATCTCTCCAAGAAATGAGATGAATTGTTGATTTAACCAATGTTCATATATTCTCACAAGATTATTTTTGTAATGCTGAAGCATTCAAAGGTTCTTAATGTGATAATCAAGTTGATGTTCGAGACCATCCTAAAACTCTTGGGTTAATGATGGGTAATATTGCGTGTGCTTTTCTTGAGCATTCGGCTGAAACGTTTGAGCCTAAAACATATAATATACACGTACAACATCTTTGTAAACACCACCTAAATGTTGCTTTTGTGTGTTGTCATAAACAGTCAAAGGGGCAGTCGTGTAGACTAGTCAGCGTTAGAAATTGGCACTTGTCCTGTAGTCGTCACTGCCAAATTGTTAAGGTATCAAAAGGACTAGTAGAAATTTGAATTTTTTATGGGTGTTGCTATATGTTAACTTTATTAAGACTAGTGAACTAAAGGTAGTGGTGAAGGCGTTGGTTCGTCACACCAAAGCCCTGTGTTCGATTCGATTGTGTACAATGTGTGAAGCTCATTTCTGGTGTGCCCTCCCATGATGTTGCTGGAATATTGTTAAAAGCGGCTTTAAACCATCTTGGCTCATAAACGGTCAGAACATATATGTCTCACAAACTTTCCTTCTCTCAGACACATGTATATTGATCAGCAGTTCCACTTGTTAAGACTCACAGTCAAGATGTTAGAATTGAAAAGCAATTTCATATTGTATTGTTGCTATGATAAGATGTCACAAAAATTGTGTAGATGTTTTTTAGAGACATGTTAGCCTTGCGTCTGCATTTGGTATTGTTATAAGTGAAAAAAAGAACAGAAAGAAAATCAAGTACTCCTATAGTCATGATAGTTCTATAAACTTGATCATTCGTAAATAATTTCTAGTTGTACATTGCCAAGAGGGCCCTGGTTCTGTGTTATGTTTCTTATGTTGGTTTGTTTACAGAGAAGTTCAGACGCTCAGGTCAGAGGTCCGCAACAGCTGGGAGATCAAGTTTGTCATCAAGGTGTACACAGCACTCAACAGCAACAATTACGTGCGCTTCTTCCGTCTTGTGAAGGAGTCATCTTTCCTGAATGCTTGCATCATCCATCGGTACTTCACGCAAGTCAGAAGTCTGGCGCTGCAGACGATGATCAAAGCTTTTGGAGGGAAGAAATCCCAGGTTTGTACAGTAAAGCATCAGGGGTGTTCTAGCTGCTGGTTCTCCAAGTGAGGACCTATGTGGTGTAGTGGATAGAGCATCTGCCCTGGGTGCTGAGGGCTGGGTTTCAATCCCTGTTGCGTCATGCCATAAGATGTTAAAAGATGGTACTTGTTCCCCTGCCTGGTGATCAGCATTAAGGGGGTAAAACAAGAATTGGTCAGCTCTGAGTAGTATAATGTTCCTCAGTGGGGTATCCATTTTAAGCTGCGGCATGATATCTCAGTTAGCTTACCCTCACAATAAAATCAGCATAAGTGAGGCACATTGCTAGAAGTGCAATAATCTTGAACGTGACATTAAACCCCATTTCACCTCTCCTTATTCACAGTTTTGTCTAAGATGCTGCAATTCATTCTGCAGAGTTATGTACCTTAGGTCTGCCAGTATCCTATGATTGTGGGTTTGAATACCAGACATTTCATAATTGTGGAAAAACATCCTAGACCTCTGGTATTTTGGAATGTCCTCTCACATTCAGCTGACACACCGTGATCACACTGAAATAACAATCACTCACTCAGCCACTCGCAGTAACTTGAAGCATGGTGTTTTACACTAGGGTATTTTGTCTCCAGGGATCTTAGGAGGTGCTGGTTACCATAGTTACAAGGTTGTGTCAGGATGCACTGGTTGTGGGTTTGGTTCTGATGTTTGAGTTTGTTCCTTGGTCTAATGGCTGGCGGTTCGTGCTGTTGGTTTCAACATTGTCATCTTCCCATGGCAAGACCATCCACTAGCCTTTTTGTCCAAGTCTTGTTTCCACCTTTGCCACATCAAGCCCACTTTCCAGTGCTAAAAATGATTGGACTATCGCACAAATCGATAGTCCAATCGGAGAACGTTTCACACAAATCCAAGACTGGTTCATATTTGTATGAAGTGATTTACTGCTGCCTGATTTTGTTGACACAAATATTTTTCATCTTTTAAACCCCTCAATGAATGCCTGTGTCTGTCTGTCAGGGATGAAATCACCAATGTTTTAGTTATCTGATCGACTAGGTTGTCGCCTATGGTAGTTGCCATCTTTGTGAAGCCAATATACGAGATAAGAACAGCGATCTAATTGGATATCACGTTTTCATTACAAGGGGCACAACTTGTGACCTATGGTGCCAGGATCGAGCCATGAAAAGTGGCCTTGATGTGTAAACATGCATAAGAGGGTCAGGAATAATTCAGCCTGTGAGTGCTAACATTGACCGTGTGTATATCTTACCCAATAGCTGCAGTTCTCAGATCTGATGTGATGATTGTGCATTTATTTTCAGTTCCCACTGACCGAACTTGTGAGGATCCTCTCCTTCGATGATGTCAATGAAGCAGCAGCATTCTGTAGTTTTTATGGCCTGAGAGTTGCCGATAGCGCTGTCGTATTGGACAAGAACTCTTTAATGGTTCCAGAAAGTGCCTATTCTCCACGCAGAGCTATAACACTGATCGAGTCAAAGAGAATGGTTCCTGTCGGAGAGGTGAGTGGAATTGTGGGTGGGTTTATCCCATGCTAGCAACACTGTAGGTATATCACGACAACCTGTAAAGTAGTCAAGCTCCAGTTGTTGATAGCATGAGCATCAATCTGTGCAATGTGGAAATCCATTTGCCAGACCCGTGAAGATCCGGGTTAGAATAGGTCTTCAGCAGCCCATGCTTGTCATAAGAGGTGACTGACAGGATTGTGTGGTCATGCTCGCTGACTTGGTTGATGCATGTCATGGTATCCCAATTGCATGGATCGATGCTCTTGATATCTATCACTGGTTTGTCTGAACCAGACTCAATTATTTACAGACCGCTTTAAACAACAATGAACAAAATCACTTTTCATGTACGTCTTTTATAGGTTAGAAATAAATGCAGACACAAAATATATAACAACAAACACACCCAAAAAGCAAACAAAAACCAACAATATGATATTACTGAAATTATGTGTTAAACCCAACTCACTCACTCACTCATCCTCCATGCTGTCATTGTGTGGTTGTCCAGGTGATCAGTGGGTCGGCCCTCCCTCCTCTCCATCTGCCAGAACCTCACTGCAGCTTTGATGACAACGGCAGGTTCAGACTTGGTCAGGATATCCTCAAGTATGGTACGTTCCTTTGTGTTCTCTCACTGCCGTGATATTGTCAGCTTGCTTGTTCCTCTAATTATGTAAGAATTGGCGCTGTCCGTCCGTCTGTCACATATCGTTTCCGGAGCAGAACTAAATAAACATGAGAGATATCTTAACCAAACTTGGCACATAGACAGGACGAGTGGTTAACTGGTGCCTTTTTATAGTTTGGAATTTAAAAAAAAATTTTTTACAAGTTTCCGTGGCAACAATTTTTATTTAGACTTTTATTTCTTGACTGTTTATATCCATTCTGCTGCTTGTGTGTCAGATGGAGCCAAGGGCAAGAAACAGGTGGAGAAGTCTGTTCCTGATAAGAAACCCACACCAGTGTCAGCAGTGGTGTTGCAGACACCAGCCTCTCCATCTACACCGGTGCAGTCTCCGCTAGCCGAGACCACAACCCAGGAGGAGTCGGCGGCAGCAGCAGCAGCAGCAGAGACTGCACAGTTTTCTAATGAGGTGGGCAGTTATTGAGTCCATGGATCACAGTGTTATCCTGTTACACCGGAACATGAGTCACAAAACCCTTCCATCTCAATGATTTTCTAACTGTAGTGTTCAGGGGAGATTGCTGGGTAGCACTAAGGCAAGGGTGGCCAGGATTTGCAGGTACCTATGATCATGGGTTGATATCAAGAATCACCCTGATAATATTTCTTCCTTGGTAAGTGAGTGAGCAATAACTCACTCACTCACTCACTCACTCACTCACTCACTCACTCACTCACTCACTCACTCACTCACTCACACATACTCACTCACACCGCCTCACTCACAAACTCACTCACAAACTTACTCACAAACTCACTCACTCACTCACTCACTCACTCACTCACTCACTCACTCACTCACTCACTCACTCACTCACTCACTCACTCACACAAACTAACTCACTCACATACTCACGCACTCACTAATTCACTCACTAACTCACTCACACTTACACACTCACACACTCACTAATTCACACACAAACTAACTCACTCACGCAAACTACCTCACTCTCTCCCCCACCTTTGTACACGTTGTCCCTGATGATTGTGTAATTGCCGTATTGCCTGTGCATATAAGAAGATGAATGTTGCACTGGCCTTGTGTGACACTATATGTGTGATGTTTCAGGCTGTGAAGATGATTGCAAAGGAGCTGTTCTGGGAGGTGATCGATGAGTTTGTGAAGGAGATCTCTACAGGCTACGTGAGGGCGGTGCAGCTGTACCTGGATGCTGGGAAGAAGACAGTGGAGGAGATTGTTGTCATTGGTACGGCAACGCTCATCAGGTGAGAATCTGCACTGGTGTTTGTGATGTTACAGACAGGTGTGCCAGGTGTTTGTGATGTTACAGACAGGTGTGCCAGGTGTTTGCAATGTTACAAACAGGTGAGTCAGGTGTTTGTGATGTCACTGACAGGTGAGTCAGGTGTTTGTGATGTTACAGACAGTTGTGTAATGTGTTTGTGATGTTACAGACAGGTGTGCCAGGTGTTTGTGATGTTACAGACAGGTGTGTCAGGTGTTTGTGATGTTACAGACAGGTGTGTCAGGTGTTTGTGATGTTACAGACAGGTGAGTCAGGTGTTTGTGATGTTACAGACAGGTGTGTAAGAGGCGTTGTGATGTTACAGACAGGTGAGTCAGGTGTCTGTGATATTACAGACAGGTGTGTAAGAGGCGTTGTGATGTTACAGACAGGTGAGTCAGGTGTTTGTGATGTTACAGACAGGTGTGTTAGAGGTGTTTGTGATGTTACAGACAGGTGAGTCAGGTGATTGTGATGTTACAGACAGGTGTGCCAGGTGTTTGTGATGTTACAGACAGGTGTGTCAGGTGTTTGTGATGTTACAGACAGGTGTGTCAGGTGTTTGTGATGTTACAGACAGGTGAGTCAGGTGTTTGTGATGTTACAGACAGGTGTGCCAGGTGTTTTTATTTTACAGACAGGTGAGTCAGGTGTCTGTGATGTTACAGACAGGTGTGTCAGGTGTTTGTGATGTTACAGACAGGTGTGTCAGGTGTTTGTGATGTTACAGACAGGTGAGTCAGGTGTTTGTGATGCTTCAGACAGGTGTGCCAGGTGTTTTTATGTTACAGACAGGTGAGTCAGGTGTTTGTAATGTTACAGACAGGTGTGCCAGGTGTTTGTGATGTTACAGACAGGTGTGTCAGGTGTGTTTGATGTTACAGATAGGTGTGCCAGGTGTTTGTGATGTTACAGACAGGTGAGTCAGGTGTTTGTGATGTTACAGACAGGTGAGTCAGGTGTTTGTGATGTTACAGACAGGTGAGTCAGGTGTTTGTGATGTTACAGACAGATGTGTCAGGTGTGTGTGATGTTACAGACAGGTGTGTCAGGTGTTTGTGATGTTACAGACAGGTGTGTCAGGTGTTTGTGATGTTACAGACAGGTGTGCCAGGTGTTTGTGATGTTACAGACAGGTGTGTCAGGTGTTTGTGATGTTACAGACAGGTGAGTCAGGTGATTGTGATGTTACAGACAGGTGTGCCAGGTTTTTGTGATGTTACAGACAGGTGTGCCAGGTGTGTGTGATGTTACAGACAGGTGTGCCAGGTGTTTGTGATGTTACAGACAGGTGAGTCAGGTGTTTGTGATGTTACAGACAGGTGTGTAAGAGGTGTTTGTGATGTTACAGACAGGTGTGTAAGAGGTGTTTGTGATGTTACAGACAGGTGTGTAAGAGGTGTTTGTGATGTTACACACAGGTGTGCCAGGTGTTTGTGATGTTACAGACAAGTGTGTCAGATGTTTGTGATGTTACAGACAAGTGAGTCAGGTGTTTGTGATGTTACAGACAGGTGTGCCAGGTGTTTGTGATGTTACAGACAGGTGAGTCAGGTGTCTGTGATGTTACAGACAGGTGAGTCAGGTGTTTGTGATGTTACAGACAGGTGAGTCAGGTGTTTGTGATGTTACAGACAAGTGTGTCAGGTGTTTGTGATGTTACAGACAGGTGTGCCTGTGTTTGTGATGTTACTGACAGGTGTGTAAGAGGTGTTTGTGATGTTACAGACAGGTGTGCCTGTGTTTGTGATGTTACAGACAGGTGTGTAAGAGGTGTTTGTGATGTTACAGACAAGTGTGTCAGATGTTTGTGATGTTACAGACAGGTGTGCCAGGTGTTTGTGATGTTACAGACAGGTGTGCCAGGTGTTTGTGATGTCACTGACAGGTGTGTCAGGTGTTTGTGATGTTACAAACAGGTGAGTGAGTTGTTTGTGATGTTACAGACAGGTGAGTCAGGTGTTTGTGATGTTACAGACAGGTGTGTCAGGTGTTTGTGATGTTACAGACAGGTGTGTCAGGTGTCTGTGATATTACAGACAGGTGTGTAAGAGGCGTTGTGATGTTACAGACAGGTGAGTCAGGTGTTTGTGATGTTACAGACAGGTGTGTTAGAGGTGTTTGTGATGTTACAGACAGGTGAGTCAGGTGATTGTGATGTTACAGACAGGTGTGTCAGGTTTTTGTGATGTAACAGACAGGTGAGTCAGGTGTTTGTGATGTTACAGACAGGTGTGTGACGAGGTGTCTGTGATGTTACAGACAGGTGTGTCAGGTGTTTGTGATGTTACAGACAGGTGTGTAAGAGGTGTTTGTGGTGTTACAGACAGGTGAGTCAGGTGTTTGTGGTGTTACAGACAGGTGTGTCAGGTGTTTGTGATGTAACAGACAGGTGAGTCAGGTGTTTGTGATGTTACAGACAGGTGTGTGACGAGGTGTTCACAGAGGAGACAGAGAGGCAGCAGCAGGTGTTGGCTGCGGAGCTGGAGGATCGTCGATGTCGGATGTCAGAGGACATCTGCCGGGACCTGGTGGAGGACGTCACACAGCAGGAAGCTCACAGTCTCGCAGTGGCTCAAGTCCGGTGAGAGGCCTTTCATATTACATCAACAAGATGGTTACTACAACTGTTACTGTCACCCAGTTACTTATTGCTCCCAAGTCATGCTAAGGGACCGACCATTTGCTGAGGGGGAGGGGGGCTTCGGACTTTTTTTTATTATCAAGAACAGATACTTCGTCAGCTTTGGTTTCAGCCTTTTTTAGATTTTTTAAAGAAATACGCCTTGCAACAATGCAATTTTTGGGGCGGGCAATTTCTCTCTTTTTTTGTCAATGGTCTGAAGGATCTTTTTGCTTTTTTACCAAGCATTTTCAGGGGCACCTTAATTTGGGGGGGTTAAAATCCCAGCCCCCCCCCAGAATATGAAATGGTCAGTCTCTTATGCCATGATGAAATAGGATAAGAGATGATAACTTAAAAGTTACAGTGATTCCAGTATTTGGTTTTAAGATGGTTCCTGTAATTCTTGTAAATACATTTAAACGGGGAAGTGGGGTAGCCTAGTGTTTAAGGCATTTGCTCATAACACCAAAGGTTCAAATCCTCACATCGGTATAATGTGTGAAGACCATTTTTGGTATCCCCTACCATGAAACTGCTGGAATATTGCTAAAAATGGCATAAAAACATCCTCACTTACTCACTTTTAAAATGCCTGTTTAACATTGTTTAATCTGATGTTGCAAATATCCCATAAAAATCAGCTGAGACACAGAGGCTTAAAGCAGCGTTAGAAACTAACAGTTTTCACCCACTAGTCCTTATAATGATAACATATAGCAAAACTCTTAAAATGGAAATTTTCTACTAGTCCTTATGATACCTTTACCATTGGGCAGTTTGGCAAGTACTATAGGACTAGTGCCAATTTCTGGGCTTATAGTGTGCATGATGCTTACATCTGACTTCAGGGAGGTTCAAGCCCAGCTGAAGAAGGAACGCGCAGAGCGATGTACGACAGTGGTGACGGACGAGGTTGTGGAGGACACCCTAGCCGGGCTCATCCACGAGATCAGTGGAGAGGTCCATCGCATTGATGTCGTCCAGAGACTTGCTAAACTGGAAGCCATTGAGAGACAAGTGAAAACCCTGCGTTCATGTCGCTTCCTGCAGATCTGGAAGAGGGAACATGCTAAACGGGTCAAACTGAAGCGGGCGATGTTGGCGTTCCCGTGTGCCCCGAGCACGCAGGATGTTCACTCACAGCTGCAGACGCTGTTGCCAGATCGTTGCAGCGATGGAGTGGTCAATGGGAGGATGTATGTCAACCAACAGGCAATGGTTACCATAGAGACGCCTATGGCCATTGAGAAGCGAGACAAACTCTTCATTGCGAGACACTCGCTGATCATGCTGACCCATCGGCTATTAAAGGAGAAGGCGTGGCAGCCGTTAGACATTCCTGCTGTCGCTGGAAAGGAGTTTGAAAAAATCTTCCTCAAACAGAGGGATCCAGAGACATATATTGCAGGTTTGTGGGAAGTTTCATTGTGGCCACCTTGTACAAGACTTTCCCAAGGGATGACCAGGGGGAGCTCTTCCCAAAGTATGACCAGGGGGAGCTCTTCCCAGAGTATGACCAGGGGGAGCTCTTCCCAGGGTATGACCAGGGGAGCTCTTCCCAGAGTATGACCAGGGGGAGCTCTTCCCAGAGTATGACCAGGGGGAGCTCTTCCCAGGGTATGACCAGGGGGAGCTCTTCCCAGAGTATGACCAGGGGGAACTCTTCCCAGGGTATGACCAGGGGGAGCTCTTCCAAGGGTATGACGAGGGGGATCTCTTCCCAGAGTATGACCAGGGGGAGCTCTTCGCAGAGTATGACCAGGGGGAGCTCTTCGCAGAGTATGACCAGGGGGAGCTCTTCCAAGGGTATGACGAGGGGGATCTCTTCCCAGGGTATGACCAGGGGGAGCTCTTCGCAGAGTATGACCAGGGGGAGCTCTTCCCAGGATATGACCAGGGGGAGCTCTTCCCAGAGTATGACCAGGGGGAGCTCTTCCAAGGGTATGACGAGGGGGATCTCTTCCTAGGGTATGACCAGGGGGAGCTCAACCCAGGGTATGACCAGGGGGAGCTCTTCCCAGGGTTTGACCAGGGGCGCTCTTCCCAGGGTATGACCAGGGGAGCTCTTCCCAGAGTATGACCAGGGGGAGCTCTTCCCAGGGTATGACCAGGGGGACTCTTCCCAGGGTATGACCAGGGGGAACTCTTCCCAGGGTATGACCAGGGGGAGCTCATCCCAGGGTATGACCAGGGGGAGCTCTTCGCAGAGTATGACCAGGGGAGCTCTTCTCAGGGTATGACCAGGGGGAGCTCTTCCCAGAGTATGACCAGGGGGAGCTCATCCCAGGGTATGACCAGGGGGAGCTCTTCCCAGGGTATGACCAGGGGAGCTCTTCCCAGGGTATGACCAGGGGAGCTCTTCCCAGGGTTTGACCAGGGGAGCTCTTCCCAGAGTATGACCAGGGGAGCTCTTACCAGAGTATGACCAGGGGGAGCTCTTCTCAGGGTATGACCAGGGGGAGCTCTTCCAAGGGTATGACCAGGGGAGCTCTTCCCAGGGTATGACCAGGGGGAGCTCTTCCCAGGGTATGACCAGGGGAGCTCCAGGGGAGCTCTTCCCAGGGTATGACCAGGGGAGCTCTTCCCAGGGTATGACCAGGGGGAGCTATTCCCAGGGTATGACCAGGGGGAGCTCTTCCCAGAGTATGACCAGGGGAGCTCTTCCCAGAGTATGACCAGGGGGAGCTTTTCCCAGGGTATGACCAGGGGGAGCTCTTCCCAGAGTATGACCAGGGGGAGCTCTTCCCAGGTTATGACCAGGGGAGCTCTACCCAGGGTATGACCAGGGGGACTCTTCCCAGGGTATGACCAGGGGGAGCTCTTCCCAGGGTATGACCAGGGGGAGCTCTTCCCAGGGTATGACCAGGGGGAGCTCTTCCCAGGGTATGACCAGGGGGAGCTCTTCCCAGGATATGACCAGGGGGAGCTCTTCCCAGGGTATGACCAGGGGGAGCTCTTCCCAGGATATGACCAGGGGGAGCTCTTCCCAGGATATGACCAGGGGGAGCTCTTCCCAGGGTATGACCAGGGGGACTCTTCCCAGGGTATGACGAGGGGGAACTCTTCCTAGGGTATGACCAGGGGGAGCTCTTCCCAGGATATGACCAGGGGAGCTCTTTCCAGGGTATGACCAGGGGGAGCTCTTCCCAGGATATGACCAGGGGAGCTCTTCCCAGGGTATGACCAGGGGGACTCTTCCCAGGATATAACCAGGGGAGCTCTTCCCAGGGTATAACCAGGAAAGCTCTTCCCAGGGTATGACCAGGGGGATCTTTTCGGGGATATGACCAGGGTGTTGCCTACTTCCTCCCTACCTCCCTCCCTCACTCACTCACTGCTTGATCTGCAGAGACAGCCCCAGAGATAACATGGAAGCTGACCGTGTCGCTACCGGACACAGCGGCGGTGACCACAGTGGACTCGGATGTTGGCGAGCTGGTCAACAAGTGGCTGTGTGCAAAGTTGCAGAGAGGAGATGTACCTGACAACCCGCATCTCAAGTACAGGGTCAGTATAGATAGGCACTGTATTAGCACTGAGTAGGACATAAAACACCATTCACTCGCTCACTTGCTGGCTCACAGATAGGTGTCATTCTTTATGACTTCTAAATCTATCTGACAGTACGGGTACCGATTTAGACGTAATGAGCACCAAGGGCTCTCTCAAAAATAGAAAAAGGGGACTCTTATTATAATATAGTATTGGTAAGAAGAAAAAACAGAGTTGAAAGATCATGAATATTGTGGTTTATGCTGACAGCCTCATATGATACAAAAGAAATGTCTGTGCATATTATACACGATATATATTTTCCAGAATTTAATTGCTCATGATAAATGGTGCATATAACACACAAGTGCGTATTATGCACGAATAAAAAAGTCTTGTGTACACTGATCAATCGGAAGGAGTGCCAATTGCGATTGTTCACAAGCCAATATATTAGCAAATATATAAGAGCGGGGCGCTTATTACATCGAATACGGTCATTCAAGATTCATTCCATACATAAGGAGTCCTAGTGGGGATTCAGCTTGATAGTTTGTCATAATATCAATCACTGGTTTATCTGGTCCGAACTTTGGCATGTACAGGCTGTCATAATATAGCTGGAATATTGCTGAGTGTGGCATTATCAACAAACAAGCAAACAAAACATGCATAAAGAAATAATTATTATTGTTAGTCTATTTCCCGAATCATTAGGTGCCAAAACACAAGGTTTGTTCCTTTAACTATTAAGTTGAGAGCTGTTCATCAGCCTGAAAGTACAACTTGGTGTACCTTACCCAGTAATTCTTAACCTCTGATTGGGGGCACAGGTGGCCCAGTCATCTAAGGTGCCACGATTTGCTGTGCAGAGTTACGTCCCTTGGGCAAACCAGAAACCTATGATTGTGGGTTCGAATCCCGGTTCGCCCCGATTATGTTTCTAGGTTTGTCAGCACCATAGCGGTGCTCGTGGGTTTCACCGAAGTGGTAAACATCTGAGACCTGCATCACTTCGGGCTTTCCTCCTACATTAAGCTGACACGCCGTGATATGACTGGAATACTGTTAAAAACGACATTAAACCCAACTCACTCACTTAACCTCTGATTTGTGTCTCTTGATTTCTTTTGTCCACTATTTTTAATTTTGTTCTCTTAGGGCGAGGTTTTGAGTTTGTACCATTCCATGGTAAAGAGACAAGGGAAACAACCCCTGCAGGTTGGAGTGTGTGTGAGGACGGTGATGGGAACTCTCAACAAGAAGGAGGTACAGAAGGTGGAAGACAAGCGCCTCCTGCTGGGCAGTGCTGGAATCCTCTTCGTCCTTCCTCCGGTTGACGACAACCAAGCTTACTGGAAGCAAGCCACAGCTCGTCTTGCAGGAGTTCTACACGCCAAGCCCAAGTCTCCTGCACTACCACTGGTCATTGTTTTACCAGAATCAGCCAATGGGAGCTTATCTGTGAGTGAGCTGATACAGAGGCTAGAGTTAAACAGTTTCCAGGATGATGGACTGGTGTCGGTCGTGGACAAACTCTCTCTCCCTGCAGGTGTAGTGGAGCTGGAGGCCGACCTTCCTCAAGCCGCTGACAGGGTGAGTGCCGTTTGTGAGTGCGTGAGTTTGTTTAGTTGTTGTTTAACACCACACTCAGCAATATTCCATCTATATGACAGTGGTCTGTAAATATTAAGTCTGGACCAGACACATCCTGTGATTGACATTGATTGAGCATTTATCTACACAATTGGGATACGATGACATGCATCAACCAAGTCAGCGAGTCTGACCATCTGATCCCGTCAGTCGCCTCTTACGACAAGCATAGTCGCCTGTTCAGCAAGCATGGGTTGCTGAAGACCTATTCTACCCCGGATCTTCGTGGGTCGTTCAGAAAGTACATTATGGACAGGAAGACCCCCACCTTGTGGCCAGATGGATGGTGTTCTTCCCCTTGTTCTGCTTGACCACGTCCTGGACGAAGGCCCACACGTCGGAGCACACCTGCTCCCAGGAGTTGCAGTCGTAGTCGTAGTAGCGGAAGCGAGGGAGCTGCAGCAGGGAGATCTCCTCGTACAGGTGACTCAGGTGCTCCGACGTGTTCCAGTGGGATGCTGGCAACTCTGCAACACACACCTCTCTACCCCGGATCTTCACGGGTCACCAGCAGCTCCTGATGGCCTTATTATTCACATTGTTAAACCATCCGGTGATCCCTAGTTAGAGCTGGTCCCCCAACCTATGCTTGTTGTGAGAGGTGATGCATGGATCGAATGGTCAGGCTCAATGACTTGGTTGACTGCTTGCATCGTACCCAGAGGATATCACAGGATTGTCTGGTCCAGACTCGATTATATACAGGCCTCCATCATAGAGCTGGAATATTGCAGAGTGCAGCGTTAAACAACAAACACACACACATGTACTAGGACTGTATCTGTAGATATTTTTACAAATTGTGCACATTGTGATTAATATTACCTGTTTAAATATTGTGGCAAACATGTACAATTAAGCCTTTCACATCACATTATTTTGTAGTGAGAATAGCCAATAAGGTTTCCTGTACATATATACTTGAAATAGAGTTCTTATTGTTTCTCAGTATTTCTCTACTTGATGTCAACAAAAGGGTCTTATGTTTGATCACAGTTCATCTGTTTTTCATATTATTTACATGAAGTAACTTTCCATGAAATATGGTCCAGTGTCACAGAATGAATTGTTGTTGATGGTGTAACTGTTGTTCTGTCTCATCGTGACACATTCATTGTGGTAACGTGAACAAGTCGGGTGGTCCTGAACTCCTTTTGAGTATTATCGTTTTAAGTATTCTACAACCCTCAGGGAATGAATTTCCCCATATGACGTTAACCGGTTGTTTTTAATTCACATCACAGAGGAGTAGATGTGTCAGCACTTAGAATGAGCAGTAACATTGCAACAATTTTGATATTTCTGTTTCTATAATGGGAAAGTTAACTTCAAAATGCTAAATAATGTTCACCACATGTGGTTTTCTTGGCAAATACCAATTCGATAAAACTGTTGATATTCGCCTATTCAGAAACATTAGGGATGAATTGACTACATGTGGTATGATTTTGTGTTTGGTTGGCAGTTGTCGGAGAGTGTCGTGTGGCTGGTTGAACACATGGCGGAGTTGCCAACGCTGCTGACGGCACGGGTGGATGACTACGTGGAGGAACTACTACTGCAGGAGTACTTCACCCCCGTCCTGCACAACCTCCGTCGCAACAAGGAGAGACACACACTGCACCAGGTGAGAACCGACTCGACACAGGCAGGGAGTTACTGCGGCAGGTGTAGAGGGGGACACTTGTTTCTTGTGTCATGTTTGACTAAATGACTGTATGTGACAGGCTCCCAACACTTGTGTCCTGTTTGACTGTATGTTACAGGCTCCCAACACTTGTGTCCTGTTTGACTGACTGTATGTAACAGGCTCCCAACACTTGTGTCATGTTTGACTGTATGTAACAGGCTCCCAACATGTGTGTCCTGTTTGACTGTATGTTACAGGCTCCCAACAGGTGTGTTCTGTTTGACTGACTGTATGTTACCTGCTCCCAACACTTGTGTTCTGTTTGACTGACTGTATGTTACAGGCTCCCAACACTTGTGTCCTGTTTGACTAAATGACTGTATGTTACCTGCTCCCAACACATGTGTTCTGTTTGACTGACTGTATGTTACAGGCTCCCAACACATGTGTTCTGTTTGACTGACTGTATGTTACAGGCTCCCAACACTTGTGTCATGTTTGACTGACTGTATGTTACAGGCTCCCAACACATGTGTTCTGTTTGACTGACTGTATGTTACAGGCTCCCAACACTTGTGTCATGTTTGACTGACTGTATGTTACAGGCTCCCAACACATGTGTTCTGTTTGTCTGACTGTATGTTACCTGCTCCCAACACTTGTGTCATGTTTGACTGACTGTATGTTACAGGCTCCCAACACTTGTGTTCTGTTTGACTGACTGTATGTTACAGGCTCCCAACACATGTGTTCTGTTTGACTGACTGTATGTTACAGGCTCCCAACACTTGTGTCATGTTTGACTGACTGTATGTTACAGGCTCCCAACACATGTGTTCTGTTTGTCTGACTGTATGTTACCTGCTCCCAACACTTGTGTTCTGTTTGACTGACTGTATGTTACAGGCTCCCAACACTTGTGTTCTGTTTGACTGAATGTATGTTACCTGCTCCCAACACTTGTGTTCTGTTTGTCTGACTGTATGTTACAGGCTCCCAACACTTGTGTTCTGTTTGACTGACTGTATGTTACCTGCTCCCAACACTTGTGTTCTGTTTGTCTGACTGTATGTTACCTGCTCCCAACACTTGTGTTCTGTTTGTCTGACTGTATGTTACCTGCTCCCAACACTTGTGTTCTGTTTGACTGACTGTATGTTACAGGCTCCCAACACATGTGTTCTGTTTGTCTGACTGTATGTTACCTGCTCCCAACACTTGTGTTCTGTTTGACTGACTGTATGTTACAGGCTCCCAACACTTGTGTTCTGTTTGTCTGACTGTATGTTACCTGCTCCCAACACTTGTGTTCTGTTTGACTGACTGTATGTTACCTGCTCCCAACACTTGTGTTCTGTTTGACTGACTGTATGTTACCTGCTCCCAACACATGTGTTCTGTTTGTCTGACTGTATGTTACAGGCTCCCAACACTTGTGTTCTGTTTGACTGACTGTATGTTACAGGCTCCCAACACTTGTGTTCTGTTTGTCTGACTGTATGTTACCTGCTCCCAACACTTGTGTTCTGTTTGACTGACTGTATGTTACCTGCTCCCAACACTTGTGTTCTGTTTGTCTGACTGTATGTTACAGGCTCCCAACACTTGTGTTCTGTTTGACTGACTGTATGTTACCTGCTCCCAACACATGTGTTCTGTTTGTCTGGCTGTATGTTTCCTGCTCCCAACACTTGTGTTCTGTTTGACTGACTGTATGTTACCTGCTCCCAACACTTGTGTTCTGTTTGACTGACTGTATGTTACCTGCTCCCAACACATGTGTTCTGTTTGTCTGACTGTATGTTACCTGCTCCCAACACTTGTGTTCTGTTTGACTGACTGTATGTTACAGGCTCCCAACACATGTGTTCTGTTTGACTGACTGTATGTTACAGGCTCCCAACACATGTGTTCTGTTTGACTGACTGTATGTTACCTGCTCCCAACACATGTGTCCTGTTTGACTGACTGTATGTTACAGGCTCCCAACACTTGTGTTCTGTTTGACTGACTGTATGTTACAGGCTCCCAACACATGTGTTCTGTTTGACTGACTGTATGTTACAGGCTCCCAACACGTGTGTCCAGTTTGACTGAATGTTACCTGCTCCCAACACGTGTGTCCTGTTTGACTGTATGTTACAGGCTCCCAACACGTGTGTCCTGTTTGTCTGACTGTATGTTACCTGCTCCCAACACTTGTGTCATGTTTGACTGACTGTATGTTACAGGCTCCCAACACTTGTGTCATGTTTGACTGACTGTATGTTACAGGCTCCCAACACGTGTGTTCTGTTTGACTGACTGTATGTTACAGGCTCCCAACACTTGTGTCCTGTTTGACTGTATGTTACAGGCTCCCAACACGTGTGTCCTGTTTGACTGTATGTTACAGGCTCCCAACACGTGTGTCCTGTTTGTCTGACTGTATGTTACCTGCTCCCAACACTTGTGTCATGTTTGACTGACTGTATGTTACAGGCTCCCAACACTTGTGTCATGTTTGACTGACTGTATGTTACAGGCTCCCAACACATGTGTTCTGTTTGACTGACTGTATGTTACAGGCTCCCAACACATGTGTTCTGTTTGACTGACTGTATGTTACAGGCTCCCAACACGTGTGTCCTGTTTGACTGTATGTTACAGGCTCCCAACACGTGTGTTCTGTTTGACTGACTGTATGTTACAGGCTCCCAACACGTGTGTCCTGTTTGACTGTATGTTACAGGCTCCCAACACATGTGTTCTGTTTGACTGACTGTATGTTACCTGCTCTCAACACTTGTGTCATGTTTGACTGACTGTATGTTACAGGCTCCCAACACTTGTGTCATGTTTGACTGACTGTATGTTACAGGCTCCCAACACTTGCCATGTTTGACTGACTGTATGTTACAGGCTCCCAACACCCTGATAACTCTGTACAACTGTGCGGTGGAGCATCTGGCCGAGGTGGCATCAGCAGCCTCCCTTGCTACACTCTCCTGTCCGATACCCGAGTTTGTTTGGTGCTACCAGAAAAAAGGTAGGCCAGTGTTGTCATTGCTCGCTGTGTTGAGCCCTTAACACTTTTTGACTACTGTTAGTATCGACATGGTATGAAGCTGTGTCTGATATTTACTCTCTTCTGTATGTTCATTAGTTACAGATATCCCTGTCCTCTAACTTGCTGCAAATTTCTGTGCAGAGTTCATCCTATAGATCCTATATCTTGAGTTTGATTCAATGTTCCACTTCCAACTTAGCTTAATAAGTCATCAGTATTTGACATTGGTTGCAGCAGATTCCGTCATCTTTGTGTACCGGTACATCCACTAATAGCATCAACTGGTATGCCAATTATGTTTTGACAGCCGACACTAATTTATTTTCAGAAGCCTGTTTGTTGATGCGGGAGGTTTTTTCTTCCAAAAGGCAATAAAATACCACCTACATGTTCCTAATGCCCCCCTTTCACTATGACCACGAATATCCTGAATCACCCCGAATAGGACATTTTCCATGTCCATAGATAAATCTCAATCATTTCTTGAAGTTCTTAAATGAATCTTTGATTCCCAAAGATTGGTACAGTTCGCAGGAGTTCGTCGAATCAGCAAGAAAGTTTTTGTTTGTCAACGCCAAAGGCCAAAGGCCTGGGTTCGATTTCCCACGGGGGTACAATGTGTGAATCCCATTTCTGGTGTTCCCTGCCGTGACATTGCTGGAATATTGCTAAAAGTGTCGTAAAACCATGCTCATTCATTATTCCAAACTGAGAAACAGATTTCTCAAAAAAAAAGTTTTGTGTTTTGTTTTTATGTCCATGAGTTGTGTTCACCAAGTCATGTGACCAGTACAAGTTGATGTGGAACCTCTAAGTCATGTGTGTGTTGCAGAGTTGCCAGCATCCCACTGGAACACGTCGGAGCACCTGAGTCACCTGTACGAGGAGATCTCCCTGCTGCAGCTCCCTCGCTTCCGCTACTACGACTACGACTGCAACTCCTGGGAGCAGGTGTGCTCCGACGTGTGGGCCTTCGTCCAGGACGTGGTCAAGCAGAACAAGGGGAAGAACACCATCCATCTGGCCACAAGGTGGGGGTCTTCCTGTCCATAATGTACTTTCTGTACGACTCTGTCAGGCTCTCTGAATTGGTTGATGTATGTTATCGTATCCCAATTGCTGGATCCACTAGAATGACCATTTCATTTTGTTTAAATGGATGGGGAATTTGGGTGAAAATAAAGTTTGTCTTCACTTTAAATATGGGAATAAATTTGGCAGAGAAAAGCAGGGAATGTAAGAACTACTCTACTACTGGCCATAAGTGACAGAAATGTAGTTGTGCTTTCATTTTACTCTACTCACGTTTTTATCAGGATACTTATTATTTTTTCACAATGATTGCTGATAATATGTAAGCAAATAGGATGGAATATGGAATATCCATATTGCTTTCGAAAGTTGAGCTGTATGTGGACTGCCATTATAGACTGTTGTCACTTTTGGTCAGAAAAGAATATTGCGTTTTTTAAACATATTTTTAATGTTGGTGAAAATGTACCATTAAATCGTAGATCATTGGTTTGAGGTTCATATGTTTCCTTCAACCTTGACCTGATGAGACTCACCTGTAGGATGTTGTGTGTCTTCAGGATCAAGAGTTTGCTGCAGAAGGTACAGGAGGAATTTAACGATGTGTGTTACCTGGTGGAGGGGGAGGACAGGTGTGAACCCACCTACGTCAACATGCCCTGGACGGATGTCATCGACGCCTGCATCACCTACAGACTCACCTGTCTCCCCATCATGGACAAACATTCACAGGAGGTGAGCACGAGGCGTCATGGTCAAACTTTCCATGCATTGCCAAATCCAAAGCTCAATTGTAGTAAATTGATGTGAAATTGAAGTACCAATACTTAAGCACCCTCTCCAACTGTTGTTTAACAAGTCATATCTCCCCTGTTTCAGCACCCTGTCTAACTGTCATATAACATGTCATATCCCCCATGTTTCAGGACCCTCTCCAACTGTCGTATAACACGTCATTTCTCCCTCTCCAACTGTCGTATCTCCCATGTTTCAGCACCCTGACTAACTGTCGTATCTCCCCTGTTTCAGCACCCTGTCTAACTGTCGTATAACATGTCATATCTCCCATGTTTCAGCACCCTCTCCAACTGTCGTATAACACGTCATTTCTCCCTCTCCAACTGTCGTATCTCCCATGTTTCAGCACCCTGACTAACTGTCGTATCTCCCCTGTTTCAGCACCCTGTCTAACTGTCGTATAACATGTCATATCCCCCATGTTTCAGGACCCTCTCCAACTGTCGTATAACACGTCATTTCTCCCTCTCCAACTGTCATATCTCCCATGTTTCAGCACCCTCTCCAACCGTCATATCTCCCATGTTTCAGCACCCTCTCCAACTGTCGTATCTCCCATGTTTCAGCACCCTCTCCAACTGTCATATCACCCATGTTTCAGCACCCTCTCCAACTGTCATATCACATGTAATGTTTCCCATGTTTCAGCACCCTCCCCGGGAGCTAGTGGTGTATTACTCGGAGGATGAGTTCAATGACTTTGCCGCCCCCGAGTCCTGGAAGGAAGCCATGTTTGACAGCAATATTGATTGTAAGTGAATTGCGATGGTGTTGGCTGACCCTGAGCAATCCACAATCAGCTACTCTCAGACTTTTGCAATTAATGTACTCAGTCATGTTGTAGGTCCAAAACTTGCAAGCATAAGAAAGAAAATAAGACTTTTTATCAGTCATATGAACATGTCTCATAATTTTCATAACAATATTTCAAAATTTTCCATTGCCATTCTTAATGTTACCAAATTATTCCCTTAGATAAAAATGTTCGGAGGTAACGAAGGCTGATAACACACTGATTGATTGACATGATTTCTCTCTTATGAAGGTCTGACAGTTTTGGAGACTGTAGGGAAAGCTGTGGAGAAGAAGCACGAGAAGTGTGCAGCCATGTCAAAGGAGGAAGAGACCCCAATCCTCATGTCCATGACGGAGGGCTCCTACGAGACAGACATGCACCGGTCTCTAATGTCAAAGTGTTCCTCTCTGATGACCTCCATAGCAGCAGAGAAGGAGAAGGATCGCAAGTTTGAGAAGTACCTGGAGTCTGTGTTGCTGGAGGGAAATGTAGGGATGGATGCCGGGATGGATGCCGGGATGGCTGCCGGGATGGCTGCCGGGAACTTCCTGGCTGCTGCATCAGGCGGGGCCTGTGACTGGTACCCTGCTGCTGGGAGGAACGCTCATCAGGCTCTGGGGAGGAATGGTGTGAAGGGGCCAGAACAGAACTCGGATACGGAAGTGGAACAATGTGAGGAGGATGTGGACATGACCATCGGTGGGAGAATGAGCAGCCTGCAGGACAAGGTGGATGCTTTCAGACAGGAGAGTCACCTGTTTGAAAAGAGGCTGGAATTCTTGTTGAATTCGTAATGGAGATTTAGGTTCATCAGCAGCCATGTGACTATGGAGGCGATGCAGCTGATGATGATGCCGTTGGTCAGGTACCTGTATCTTCTTTCATGCTGTGATCTACACTGGATGACTAGTTCTCAGTTGGCGGTCATGTTCAAGCAGTGATGACACATCAGAGCGTTATTCCTTCTATGACAAAGTTGTTAGTACACAGTGCTTCTCACCGACACATTTGTCTTTGACACAGAAAGTGCTGAACTAGGATCCTTCCTGTACCGGTGCATGAACAGTTTTTGTGCGTTTCAGGTTCATAAAGAGATGTCAGTTTTGTACCAGTGTGGAAGCAAGGAATCATGTGTTTTGTCAAATCTATTGTATAGTCATGGACTTATCATGTCATGAATTCATCGCAATATTCTTGATTCATAATCTCTAAGATCAACAAACTCACATATTCACATAAGTCATTTCCATGCAGTTATTTATGCATATTGAATGTAGAAATGAATTTGCATTTGAACAGTATGTCAACGTGCTTTCATATTTTCAAGGTGTTTGAGCCTTTGCAAGAAACACCTTGAAAATAAATGTTTTGAACGCCATATTGTGTCTTTTGTTTCATTTTTACAATATAACTACACTAAATGTGTATGTGGAAATTATAAAGCGTTTGCTTGTCACACCCAGATCAATAACCAACAGAGGCAGAACATGTGAAACGCTTTCTGTTGTCTGCGGACATGATATATATGGAACATTTCTAAAGCTGGAGGAAACTCACACATAGTGATGACACCCATCTGATGCACTTTGGGTAACTGACTATATCCAGCAGCAAAACATCACCAGAATGCAATGTCCAGCCCTAAGTCCCGACCTGTCCACCACAGAGTACACCTGGGTCAGGATGTGAAGACTTGTGAACTGAAGGCAATGGCCACCCCTTACCTTAGACCAACTGGGCCAGGCACTGCAGGAGGAGTGGACAAGAATCACTCAAATTGTCATTGGGATTGTTTGTTTGTTTCTTGTTTAACGCGGCATTCGGCAATATTCCAGCTATATTATGGTGGTCTGTCAAAAATTTGAGTCTGGACCAGACATTCCAGTGATTGATGTCATGAGCATCGATCCTAGAAAATGGGATACAATGACATGCATCAACCAAGTCAGCGACCTTGACCACCCGATTAGTTGCCTTGCACGGCAAGCATGGGTTGCTGAAGACCCATTCTACCCTGGATCTTCACAGGTCGGGTCACTTCTAATTAAGAATACAACCTTCCCGTTGCCATCTCTCTTCTTCAGACAACCATTGAACTAGAGTAAACTACATTATAACGAACACGCTTATAACGAACTGATGCATGCAATTGTGGACGTAGACAAATATTACATTATAAAAAAGGCATCTAGCTGTATATAAGGCCATGTAAAAAGGCAGGCTTTTTAAAACTAAGGGTTGGAAAATAAACATTTCAAATGATCTTATGTTGTAATATCGGGACTTCACTCAGCTCATTTAATTGTCACCACTTTTTGCCTGTTAAACATTATACATCAACCACAAGTGATATTCCCTCTGAACAACCCAATAATGTTTTGAATGAATAATTGATGGCCATGAAGATGTGTGTGGCTGCAAAGTACTTGAAAGAGGAGAGGGGATCAGCTATCACAAATCATTACCCAGACGTATCCTGCAGAGCCGTCTTATGAGGTAACTAAATATACAATTAATAGATCTAATTGATAAGTGTAGGTGAGTATGGTTTTATGCCGTTTTTAGCCAAACTCCAGCAATATCAAGGCGGGGAACACAAGAAATTGGCATCACTCAAACCGGGTCTTCGGCGTGACGAGTGAACGCTTTACCCACCAGGCTACCCGACCGCCCCCTAATTGGTGATGATGGGTCCTAGAGTGTGGGTGAGATGGTGGGTGCAACTGTCAAAATATTCGAAACTGTAAACGGATAATAGTTCCATTTCAACGGTTGATGCCAGTGCTGTATCCAGAAACAATATATTATAACACTTTATCTTCCTTTTTTCATTATTAGAGGTTCTAAGCAATATATCTAGAATTGATCCGCATGGTTATTTTCCGTTTTTCGACTTGTATAAACCCTGGAAACTGGTCAATACAATTTGTTAGCCGGTGCAGGTGCGGCAGGGAAATCAGTGTTAAACAGACCATTCTCACCTTAAGGTATCCAATACTGCGATTGTAAACCAGTTTCTAAATCTCTTTATTAGGGGCCTTCCAAGCAGGTGTAAGTTGGCTTCATGAATTGAAACAAAAACAGTACATACCTACTTAGGTTTTCATGCCAGGTGAGGTGAGATGAAATGGAGTTTAACGTCGTGTCAAAGAATATTGCACTTATATCGCGTTGTGCATGGGTGTGTGTAGTTGTATGTACCGGAGTGATGCCGATTTATAGTGCTAGCCTACTGAGATACCATGCCGCAGTTTAACATGAATACCCCACTCAGACACAGTATACTGACTCCGAGCCGACCAGCCCATGTTTTAGCCCCTTAATGCCGAGCGCCAGACAGGGTAACAACAAGTACCATCTTTTAAGGTCTTTTGGTATGACGCAGCCGGGGATCCAACCCAGGGCCTACCGCTCTCCGGGCGGACGCTCTATCACATGAACACGTGTGCGTGCGTGCGTGCGTGTTTTTCGCTCTAGATACGTTTTAAAGTCTACACGTTGTAATTGATATACTGTACTCGTCCCTGTCAGATATGTTTTCTTAATTGCAACGAATGTACTTAAAAACGTGTTTTCGGGGGAAAGCGAGAGAGTTCTCTCTCGTTAGATACGTTTTGAAAAAACACGAGTAGCAATTAAAGAAACGCTATCTAACGGAGACGAGTGTAGTAATTTATTTATTACTCATTTAAACTCACTATACTCGTCAATGTCAGATGCGTTTTCTTAATTACAACGAGTTTTCTTCAAAACGTATCGACCAGTGAAAGCGAGAGAGTTTTCCCTCGTTACATACGTTTTGAAAAACACGAGACGGAGACGAGTGTAGTAATTTATTTATTACTCACCTAAACTTTACACATTATCTACAACGCACGTTGAAAAAAGACTTTGTCGGTTTAAGCAGCTTGAAGGGTGGCGAATGAATACGCATTTAGCAGCTGCTGATTCTACCATAGACTGTTTCTTCCCCCAGCTCTTTTCTCCGAGACGATTGTAAGTAACTTTAAGATGACTGTATCATGTTAAATACCATTAATATACACACAAAAAACAGTTAGATCACAAGCTACATCATCTGCATTCAAGGGACAAAATTAGCTTAAAAACTGTGTTCAATGTTTGCAGTGGAGCGACTCAGTGAAACGGGACCTCCTTGTATCCGGCCAGGTCATGTTAGCTGTGTGATTCAAAACGCGTCAGCAGATGGTTAACATAACATGTTATGAAATTGTTTGTAATTACCGTTGTTCAATTTCGGAGCCTGAAAAATTCACCACAAGAGATTGCATTTTGAAGACAATTCTTGTGATTGTCCATTTGGTCCAAGGGACGCTTCTTTCATTTACTACTAAGTTGAAGGTCGTAAGAGACGCGGCGATTAGTGAGCGAGTGAGTTACAATTTAACGTCGCATCAGCATTATTTCAGCCATATAGCGACGAGACCAAGTTGATGTATTCACAAGTAAGTCATTTATGCAAAGTAATATTTTAGAATAAAATTTCGTCAAACACATTTGGGATGCGGCGAAAAATGTCGTGAGGATCTTACAAAAAAGATCTAATAGTTTATTAGTCATATCTACCCAGTAATCGTCGAGAGTAAGTTAGAATACTAGAAATAAACATGGAATACCGAAGTCCTATTCTACCCACTAATCATCGAGAGTAAGTTAGAATACTAGAAATAAACATGGAATACTGAAGTTTTATTCTACCCAGTAATCATCGAGAGTAAGTTAGAATACTAGAAATAAACTTGGAATACTGAAGTCTTATTCTACCCACTAATCATCAAGAGTAAGTTAGAATACTAGAAATGAACATGGAATACTGAAGTCTTATTCTACCCAGTAATCATCAAGCCTAAGTTAGAATACTAGAAATAAACATAGGATACTGAAGTCTTATTCTACCCAGTAATCATCAACAATACGGTATATCAAATTATTGGCTTTGGACTTTTCTACCCTCTAGCCTACTAAAACTTCTCAGGATTGATAGACACTACCGACAAATTACTTTTGGGTGTGGATCAAAATCTTGTGTGTCCACCATGTTGGGCGATATATACACAGCATCTTGGAGGCATACTGTTGATAAACTTGAGTATGGTTGACCTTGGTATTACCCGCAATTCCACCCGAAGAGCTACCCAGGGGGCTGAAGTTAGCAGCGGGTTTCGTTATTCGTTATTCGAATAACGAAAAACAAGCCAGCACCGGGTTCGTTATTCAAAGGCTGTATATTAAACAACTACAGTAATGTGGTCAAATATACTGAAGCTCATTTAATATATGACAGAAGGTTCGTCTTACATCATCATCCAAAAGCTGTTAAGTTATTCAGTACTTTTGAATAACGAAAAACAAACTAGCACCGGGTTCGTTATTCAGACTTGGTATAACAAATATAAGATACCGTATTTCCAGTGGGTTCGTTATTCGTCATTCGTTTTTCGAATAACGAAAAACAAGCCAGCACCGGGTTCGTTATTCAGACTTGGTATAACAAATATAAGATACCGTATTTCCAGTGGGTTCGTTATTCGTTTTTCCAATAACGAAAAACAAGCCAGCACCGGGTTCGTTATTCACAGGATGTATTTTAAACAACTACAGTAATGTGGTTAAATACACAGAAACTCATTTAATATATGACAGCAGGTTTGTCTTACATCATCCAAAAACTGTTTCGTTATTCAGTACTTTTGAATAACGAAAAAACAAATCACCACCAGGTTCGTTATTCAGTTAATGTGCAACAATTCTTTCAAATATAAGAAAGTCTATAGTCTATCTCCCAACAACTGTTAAGCTATTCAGTACTTTTAAATAAGGAAAACTAACAAGCACTTGGTTCGTTATTCAGTTTATGTCAAAGAAATTTCAGTGTATATAACCACATTTCTGTAGTTGTTTAATATACAGCCTTTGAACAACGAACCCGCAGTTGGCTTGTTTTTCGTTATTCGAAAAATGAAAAACGAATAACGAATACACTGAAAATACGGCCTCTGAATAACGAACCCGGTGCTGGCTTGTTTTTCGTAAATTCGAAAAATGAATAACAAATCAAATGAAAATACAGCGTTTGAATAACGAACCCCGTGCTGGCTTGTTTTTCGTAAATTCGAAAAACGAATAACGAATCAAATGAAAATACGGCCTTTGAATAACGAACCCGGTGCTGGCTTGTTTTTCGTTATTCGAAAAACGGATAACGAAACACGAATCCGCTGCTAACTTCAGGCCGCTGGGCTACCCTACGTTGGGCCACTTTGGCGGGTGATAGGTCTTTGGAGTAAATTCTACTCCCAAGAACATCCTGCTGATGCTCTATTGTGGACGCTACAATGTCCGTATGCCTTCTCGTCG